TTCAGCTTTTGTGAATCTTCTAGGCCCAGCCTTTTTTTCCTGTCAGTAAAACGTCCCTACGGATCCTGTAAACACTTGTAAAACCATGAAGTGAATCCTTCACATATACATATTGAGAGGCAAGGCCAGATGCATGTTTAGCTCTTCATCCACTTGCTCCACTCGAGTTAGTGACTGCCAATGGACTGAATCCACATGCTGTTTCCCAGAAACTGCTCTGCCTGACACGTCTGCGCAGCAGGATACCCTAAGAGACCTGCCAACACAGATGACAGCCTCTCCTCATACATCTTCTATATGACCCTTGCTGCCTGCTTCTTTACACTAAAGTACGCTTTCGTTTTTGTATCCCTCTCAGGTGTTGATACCCATCGATATCAACAGGACTGTCCTAGGGAAGCATTGCACAAAACTACTCTACAGGTGCGAAATCTACATCCAGAAGTTTCAGTCAGTCCTGCTCTTCCCAGAGCTGTGTGCCTGTGCAAACGCTCACTGTAAAACAGTCCTAAAATGACTATTCTAACCTGAAATGTAATAGAGGTGCAACCTCTGGCCTGCTGGTGAACTCTGTGCTAGACGTGGTGCCGACAGCTGAAGCTGAGCAGGGGGGAAAGGGAAGAGACGATCCCTTTTAGCAGCAGAGACTCCTTAGGCCAGCTGAAGTATCTAGCCAGAGGACCTCCTGGTCAGTCAGCACTGACAGAGTAACAGGTGACGTTCAAATACAACACTAAGGAAAGAAAAAAAAAATATTAAAAAAATAAAAAGCAAAAAGGGGAAATTTGAAATACCCAACAGACTTGAGTACTTACTCCCCAGTATCCAGAGTCACCAAGAAAAGATAGTCTGCCAAAAAAAAATGGTGTCAGTCTCAAGAGGTGCTACTGACATTTCCCCCAAAAAGGCATACCACACAACGGCCAAGATGTTGTGCTGCCTGCTTCCAGAGCTCACCTATTTTGCCAGTACATTTAGAGTGTTAAGGACACTCTTTATCAGGAAAAATAACCCCAGGGCTACACCACACACAGAATGGCAAGAGGACTTGTATTAATAAAACACACTGGTGCAAAAACTCTTCCAAGTCGGCACCAGGCTGGTCAGCTGGAGAGCAGAAAGGAAAGATCTGAGAAACAGACTGCAGATATTTCAAGCTGTACTGCAGCTGATAGCTCTCCTTGCTTTTACACAATACACTACCACGCAGGACATTATAGCCAGGAGCATCAGGATTTTGTGACTTTCACATTCCAGCTGGAATCCCGATGACAACTGTTTTATGAAACCTGCTCAAGTCTCATCACAAAAGGTAAGCTACAAGCTCTGTAACACAGGGATGTGATCACCCAACATCATACTGTTATTGCAAATGACTACAGAGTCTAGTTCCTAATTTGCCCTCTCCTACTATCCTTAACATCTTTCCCCTTTGAATGACTCAAGAAATGTGGTTTTGAGCTCTAAAAGTCAAACATGAGTGATAACTTCATACAGGATCACCCAACCAGAAGTGTACCATGGCAGTTTGTGTAAAATGACCTCCACCCAGCTTTGTAGACATCATCTCATTTATACACTCGGACGAGCATATCAGCCTGTAGTCAGAATCTGACCCTACCCTGAATAAACAAAACAAATACATAAGATAATAATCCTGAAATGGCATCAGCACTCCGGACAGTCACCCTTTAGATATTTTTATTGAAGAGTCAGGAGGCAGCAGAAGAGGCAGGCAGGAACTTTAGTTTACCCACATATTGTCACAAAACGCTATTGAAAAGGACAAATAATGAGAGCTACTTTATTTTGAAATGCATCGTCTTAAATGGATACTAATAAGAGTAAAGGTTATTTATTCTCAATCAGAATTGAAATGCAATCCCATTACAGACTTCTGGGCTTCAAAAGTTGTGCCATAAATATTTCAAATATCACTTACTATAAATATCCCAATTGGAGACTTCATGCAACTATCTGCTTTTTCAGGAACAGTAGCTTGAGCATTGAGGATTTTTTTTTTCCAATTGTACTACAGTTATATAGCTCATTCTGGTTTTACTAAGTAATGACACCAAACATGATGCCACCAAAAGTCAAAAAGCTCCACCATTTCTAGGGTTATACATCAGTAGTACAGCTGATTGCCTCCCAAGTATTTTGAAACAACACACAGCCAGTGATCCGAGAATAATGCTCCCAAGAGTGTTAAAAGAAAGAAGTAATCATCAGAATACAAATTTCATAAATCACGAGTTAGGGATGGATTCATTGATTCGGTTCTAACTGCTTGAACAAATGAAGAAATACCAGAAACTATTTTTTCTGGGGAATAAAAATGGAGAAAAAGGGAAAAAATACTAAGCTCAAGGAAAACACTTTCAAAGAAACTGTCTCATTACAAGTTTCACTTCAACGTGTTAACAGCCTTAAATGTGCTGAAACCACTGGACAATTACTTTTATAAACTGCTTGCCTCAAACCAAGGGAGTTGGGAGTAGCTTACAGAAAAAAAGATGTCAGTGAAAAGATGAGGATTTAAAATTAAGATTGAAAAACTAATTAATTAAAGAATAATTACATGGAATTCTGTCCCCCAAAACAGGGGTGGAGCAGTTCCCTGCCTTTCAGAAAATAAAACAGGTGTACATGTATGTATTTTGTGAAAACTGCACAAGAAACTGAGGCATTTTTCCAGGCTTTCCCTGGGACTGTTAATTCAACTGCACAAACCAGTGCTAAATCTCTTCTTGCTCACTCAACTGCCTGTGCACTTGGCATTCCTCTTGCTTTTATTACGGAAGATGAACTTGAACGCCTTTTAAAAATCTTTGATAATATATGCCAAACATGAAGGGAAAACAAAAAAACAAAAAAAGCTTTTAATTTAATTAACTGCAATTTTTGCTCTTCATCTAGTATGCCAAAAGAAATCATATCTATAAAGAATAAAAAAACTACTAAACTACTTGCCCTTCTGTAAAACGTTTTTCAACATATCTCCACAAGATGAACTTTATAGGATCAGCCACACAATTTTGAGCATTTATTAGCCAAATAAAACCATTAGCAGCTTGATCTCATTCGCTTGATGAGCGATTCACAAATATGTATAGCTCTGCTTTATCAAGTTGACAAACATCCGAAAGTTTTCACCATGCCTTCACCAAATATTGTACTTGTGTAGCTGCAGCTTTTGCCAGAAGTTTTAACATACCTACATAAGGAGACCATACAGACAGCTTTTGCAAAAATTTACGTTTCTGTGAGTACCTCCATAATTTGAGTGGATTCTGTAAAAGTCCTACATATTATCTGCATTTGCCGTTCATCTACAGCTTCGTAATGGCTACACGAGTTGGACTGTTTTTTCTGAGTATTTTAGTACCTTAAGCACTCCCAATTTGTAAAGCCCGTCAGAATTTTTAAGGGCTAAATCCTGCCCTCTAGTGTACCCGTGGACAGCCGTGCCCTGGGAACCTTCCCTGCTCCAACCAGCCTTATCCAACCCAGGCACCAAACAGGTAGGAGACGGGACAACTCCCTGCCTGCCTGAGGGCATCTCGCATTTGCCTCACTCCATCTTCAGAGCGCACCCGCTACTCAACCACACAGCTCTGGGGTAGGTAAAAGTTGCCCAATTTTGAGTAAGAGGATTAGCAGACGTGATGACAGATGAGGGAACATCCATCCCATCCCTTGGCAGCACGCTTGCCTCCGTGTGCCCAGACAACGTAGGCAGTCTGTCCCTCATTTAATTATTTTACCTTGCAGTGCCATGGAGAAAACACTATGACAGTATTTTGATGACAAATAAAGTAAGCCAAAGACACACAGGAAACATACTCCCAACTTTCCTGCATGCGGGCTCTGTGCTACCTCACTCCCTAAAGCCAACTACATCTGAGAGCCGGGAAGAATTTCTGTCTTGACTATGTCGCAAAGCATTAGCGTTTGGCACAACAGCTGAGGGCTGTGCAATAGATCAAAGGTAATGCAAAATCAGTCTGCTTTCAGAGAGACTTGGGTAGAAGCAATGTATTCAGACGCTTAGATTTAGGGCCAGATTTAAAAAAAAAAAAAAAAAAAAGTCAACTCTCACCTACCAACAGGATTTGGAACAGGATGCTCTGTTAATAGTTCTGGCCACGTCCATGGGACACCAAAACAGGAGAGTCCTTCTGAGTCCTAAATAACTCAAGCACCTATATAAAACTCAGCATTGGGTACTGAACCATCACACTAAATCACTTAGCTCGTTTTCTTCCATTTGCATGATTTTGCAGTAAGTTTTGTATCTTCCTCACTAAGCTGCTATGCTCTAAAAACATACACTTCAACATATTATGTTAAAAACATTTAGAAAGTTTAACCATTTAAATGTTATGATACAAATAACTCATTAACAATACTTGTGAAAAGAACTTTCTTCAGAAGAAATTTTCCTGGGCCAATATTACCCTATTTTACATTTTCTTGACATATTTTTGGAAAGGTAATTAGGCACTAAGGAGAAAGAAGGCATTTCAGACATTTGCAGGGTTGATAAAGCTCACGCTGCTGAATCCCTTCTGAGTGACTGGCTGGAGCCTTGTCATCTCATTAACAAGTGGATGAAAATGGCTCAGGATTCCTTGGATGCCTTGTTTTATACTTGTCATGAAATACAGCAGCTTGAGAAATTATGGAAATATACAAATGCCGACCATTCCTCAGCGAGGGAAACTGAAGGGAAACCAGCTGTGCTATGAGACATTTCATAAAACGTATGGCTAAGCGTTCCTTTCCCATTCCCCTTGCTTTTCCCCGTCACCAGCTCTTTGAGGCAAACACCTCCGGAGAGTTTCTGAAAGCCTTTCCAAGCTGACTGGCTTCTTTGCACTTTTTCCACAATATAAACCAAAAGTTGTTGATCAACAACAAGAGATGTTTCTTTGTTTTGCTTTACAAAACAAAACCCTAAGAAAGCGCCTTCTGTTTTCTGTTTGTCTGAAACATACCTCTTTGGGGGAAAAAAACAGAAATCCCTGGGGTGTGTCCAAAGGGGCACTTCGCTGATGTCACTGAGCAGCACGCATGTGATGTGGCAATATCGACCATCGCAGATGTATTGTCCTGCTCTTTCGCTACGTGAATCATATGACTCCTCTCCTCCAGCACACAGGGCACAAACTTCCATTCCTTCATCTCACTGACGACACGATTATGAATAAACCCAAGTGAATGGGGTGAGTGTAAAACAGTCAAAACTCTTGATGCCAAGACATAAAACAGACTATATACTTCGAACAAGCTGTCCTTAGTGCTCGCGGCGGAACGGGGGAGGCAAAAAAGGACACGGATAATGGAAATTTGTTTACAGTATTAGACTTAGGTCTGAAACGTAAAGGGAGAGTCATTCACCTTCTGAAACAAGGGTTCCCTTTAAAAGTCAAAGTGGGGATGTGCTAATCAAATGCTATTTTGTTTAATTAATTTGTAATAGCACAAGAATCTCTCCTAACTGTCCTTTAACTAGTTTTCTAAACCAAATTCTCGGCACCCAATATATTTCTTTTTTTTCAAAATCATCTTATAAAACCTTTTATTTAAACCTAGAAAGCCTTCATGATTTGAGGTGCGTATTTTCTTTGCTAACTTTTTTTTGGAAGTCTTTTCACATTGTCTTAGGTTTATGTCTTCTCTTTGCCATCTGTCATGCCAACGTGACCCGCCAGGAATACCACAAGATTTCACAGGGACTTCCACAGAGCAGCGTTCACCAGATCAGAGTTCAACACTGTACAGATTTGTATTGAATGACGTACTTAAAACCAAGATGCTAGAGATGTGACCCACGTAATGTCGTAGCAACATGCCTCACTGACGTGTCAAGCGCTAATTTCTCTACTTCTGAGAACTGACTTCTTCCAGGAAAAAAGAAAAAAAAAAGTTGTTTTCTGATAGCAAGGAAAGGAGGAGGGCGCGGGACTGTCCCCAGGCAAGTGTCCCTGCACAGCCTGACACCAGGGAAAGAAGGAGCAGCTCACGTGTGGTGGCATTCCTGTGCACACAGGCAATTGTTGGCAGCAAGCCCCACCAGGTGGGAGAAGTGGCCAGCTGTACCGTGCTCACAAATCATTCTTTTTAACAAGGCATTTTCTGCAAATGACCAGAAAGTGCAGAGCTGAGGGATACCTGAAGAGCTCCCAGCAGCTGACTTTCTGCAGAGCAGGGCAGAGGCCACATCAGTTGTTGATTACTCGGGATTTCCTTTACCTGTTGCCACCATTCACTAAACAGGAAAAAGGATAGGAAGAGAAAGGGGTTTCAAAAAGAGAGACAGGCATCCAGTGAAAGAGGAAAAAATACTAATCAGCAGGTAACAGTGAAGAAACAGAGAAGAAAAAGGTAGAGATACAAAGAAAGAAATGACAGGGAAAAATATAAAGGAAACCAGAGAAACTTGAAAGGGAAAGGCATAGGATGGAGTCAGTAAGGTATTACCAACACCAGAAAGACTTTCACATGTAATTCCCTATTAGGAAAGCAGCATGAGAAGGCAGTTCAAAACTCTAGTATCAGTAAGGCTAAACGGGAAAAGAAAACACACATTAGAAAGACTCAGGAACAAAAAACTAGAATTGCTCAGGCAGGACATTAAAAATAAAAGGGGGGGGCAAGCCTTATGATGAAGGATGATGACAAGATTCAGGGCAGCTTGGCCCAGCCAGGGTAGCACAGAACAGCAGGCAGGGCTACTGGCCTTTTGCACCACAAAAAGCAGAGCACGGCACGAGGTAAGCACCTGGGAGCACTGACAGCACCTGGAGACCTAGCTTCAGTCTCGCATGGACCCAGGTCATCGGCTTGCTTTGCGTCAAATTTCCAGTAAATTCTCATAGCTACTTCTCATGGTAAGAAAACCTGTTTTGTGAACCAAACACACTTCTTTCCTGTAAGAATTTCCACATTTCCCAAACACAAAAAGGTAAATCAAGCGGAATACATTACTGGGTGCTTTCCAGCACAGACTTCATCCCGTGCAGTAACTGACCGGTACGCGTGGAGACCGGACACATTAATGGTACATTAATGCCTTGCTTTAGGCACCAACATTGGAAAAGCCCATGTGCAGTAATTTACTGCATTGTTTTGGAAATATATTTTGTTACTACTCATGCAACATCAAGTAACACTTCCCTCTAAACCACTACCTGAGAAAGACAGAAATGCAAAACACATTGGATGAAATCTGAAAGTTTCCTAGCTTTTCCTAAGAATATTAGTCAGACTGACTGACTACTAACTTCCTCTACATGTACTGTTCAATATATACCTTCATCCATCCCATCTGACATAGAACAATTTTACCAAAGAGTCCCAAAGTAGAACAGCCTCAGCCTGAAGCCCAACCTAGCAATACTGCTATTCGGGAACAGTCTGTTGCAATACTTCTTTGGAATTGTACAAAAAGCTTGCTTTTTTTTTTTTTTTTTCTTTTTTTCAGATGCGCAATGTTCTAACTGGAAAGGAGTACGACGAGTCTCAGAAACTTTTGTTGCCTTTTTATCCATCTCCTCACATCAATCCCCTCCTTGTCTCTCGGAGTTTAGCCCCACCTGTGCATCCACTGCTCAGAGGACAGGTTGGAAAGAGACAAGGAGTCTTAGTAAGACATTTCACCTGCTCTTTGTGCCAAGTGCACAGGCAGCTCACAGTGCCCACCCTGTAAAATAATACATTTTCTAGAAGCAGGAGCTGCATTGAGACAATCAACCTGACAACTAAGCAGCAACCCCTTGCACCTGCTTCGAAGCATTTCAAAAACTTAATGTTACATCGTCAAACAAGCCTGTACTGAATGTTTTCCAGATACCCTGCGGGCTGCAAAAGGCACCTTCCCGGCAGCGGGACACCCTGCCCTGCACCTCCTGCCCCCAGCACCAGGTGCCAGGCACCCGGCGCGGGCACCCCCCGGGCACTCACTGTGCGGGTCGCTCTTCTCGCGGACGCCGTCCACCCTGCCGTCGGGGTTGATGCGGAGGAAGAAGCCGCCGTTCTTGCAGTACAGCCGCTTGGGGTCCTTGAAGTGCCCGGGGGGGAAGGCGCCGCCGCCGCCGTCGTCGGGCAGCGCCGGCAGCGTGGTGATGCTCCCGGCCGCCCCCGCCGCCATGCGCCGGGCCCCGCCGGCTCCCCGCCGGCCCGGCCGGCCTCGGCCCCTGCCGCGCCCGTCCAGCCTCGCCTCGCCCCGGGAGCTGCGCAACGCCGCTGCCGGCCGGCCGGGGCGCCCAGCGAGGCAGGGAGGAGGGCCCGGGCTTCCCCCGGCCTCGGCCCCGGCCCCGGGCCCGGCCCCGGCCGCCCCGCCCCGGGGAGGGCTGTGGCGGGGCCCGGGGGGGGGCGGCACGGGGCAGGGGCTGGGGGGCTGGGAGGGGCGGGGGGCTCGGTGGCTTGGCAAAGGGCAGCACAGCAAAGCCCGGGCACGGGCCCACCAGCAACCCAGCACGTCGTCTGTAAAGCACAAACCCCTCGGGTGCATGTTTTGTGCCTGAGGCTGGCACCACCCGGGCGCACACCTGGGAGGATGCACAGCTTTGTTTGGAGACCCCACTCAGCACCCTCGTTCTCCTGTCCTGCTGCTTTGCCCCTTGGGACGCTTTCCCACCTCCATGGCAGCACCTGGGCAATGCCAACCCCGACAGCTACACCGGCCTCTTCATTTCACTGAGCCAACATACCGCAACCTGCACTGGGGAACAAACACAACAGCAACACATGCTGTCCTGCAGACACCATTTGTAATGTTGTTTTTGCTAGCACGTATTTACAGTAATTTCATCGCTGGTCAGCTTCCCGTCCCAACTCTGACCCTTCGCAAGCCGTAAATCTTAATTCTTTACCAGAATCGGTGACAATTACACTGCTTCCCACACCCTCACTCCAGAGGCTTAATCATGATGGATGGTGCGTGCAGAGCACGGCGCGTCCCAGCGCGGGGCCGGTGCAGGTTCACCCCCGTGTCAGCCAGCCGCCCCCTCGCAGCGCCGCGGGCACGGCCAAGCATCACGCGCCTGCCGTCATTCCGTCCACGCGTGGGGATTTCAGCCCCGTTGCTCAGAAGGATCCCTCCTCTCCTTGTGTCCTCCAGCTCCTGCTTCTTGCTGCCTGTCTGCTTCTGACACTCTCTGCCATTTCTCCCTGAAATCCAAATGTTATTGCTGCATGAGAGTTTTAGACAGTCAGACCAATGGCGGAGATGCTCCTGGTTTCCTCTTGCTCTTCTTTTACAAGAGAAGCTACATTCAGGACATTTTGTGTCCTTGCTCTATAAATTCTTCCCAAGTCCTCATCTCCTTCTCAGAAAGGAGAGAGTTCTTCAGGCAGGTGAAGGGAAAGGGGAAAGAAACATCATTCTTAAACCTGTAAGAAGTTCAGACAACCAGCCAAACAACAAAAACCCAACCCAACAAAACCACATTTCTAAAGACTGAACATTCCTAGATTCACTTAGGCATTCCTGACACAGCCTTCACCTACACACAGAGCAGGCCTTTCACAGCCCTCACGTAGCTCTGAGCACTGCCCTGGGAAATCACATTTCAGCACCTCATCGGCCAGCACTCCTTCATTTGGCAAAAGGGCCATCCCCATATCCTGGAGCAGCGCTGCCTCAGCTGGCTGGAAGCCCAAATGCACATCTCACAAGACAGGGCCCTGATATTTTTCAGATTCTTCTGAGTCCTGGCCCCTGTGATGGGGCCCAACCCAGGGGTGGCAGGGTAGACTATCTTTAATCAGTTCAAATTCCTTACCAAAAAATCCTTTTAACAATTGGTGCAGCTACCAGTAAAATTACGGAGCCTAAGAGCTCTTTAGAAGCTTGTCACTGGGGCTTCTATCTGTGGAGCCTCAAAATAAATGACAACAAAGCTAAATGGAAGATCATAGTCTCTCAGGTATTTCCACTCACCTCAAGATCCTTTTATAAATATATACACGTATATATTCATTTTTCACTTTCTAATGGAAAACATACCAATTTTTGTTTTCTCCATACTTATTTCTTCTGCACTCCAACCTTGCGATATGGTCATTGACATTTCTCTTAACATTGACTAAAACAATTCTGGCAGTAGCATTTTCCTTTCGTGTGGCTTCGATCGCATTATCCCCACCACCACCCTTCCTCAACTCAGATCTTGCGCACAATTACACCCATAGAGCTACTTCCCCTCCACCCAAGCCATTAATTATCCCTGTTTTCAACCCCATTCATTCTCATTCTCTTGGCCTGCTTAAAACATATTCCATGTTAAAATGCCTTGAACCCTACCTTTCTTCTACATTCCAAAATAAATCTTAAAAACCTATTCTGTAAGCTGTTCCATTTATCTAAATTACCCACCTTTTTGTGTTTGCCTTGCATTGTTTTATATGCGGCTAGATTTTTAATAGCTTACCTCTTAGAGAGACAAACCTGTTTTATCTGGTGTTGCCCTCATGGTTGTGGCTCATACGGAACACAAGGCACTTCATAAATGGGACAGACAGCCCATTCTGATGGTAGATAACCGTGGGCCAGGTGTATGCCCAAACATTGCCTTTATTCAGTACACAATGCTTACGTTTTCTTGAGACCCTCAATAGCATCATACTCAGAACACCTAAAAAAAAAAAAACACAGCTAAATTATATTGTTAGCCTAGTTACAGAAAAAAATAAAATAAAATAATAATTTTTGACGTATTTCAAATTGCGGGTAACAAACCCCATCAGTTTTATTGCTCTGGTTTTTAATTTTTAATCCAAAGTTCGAAACTCACGTCTACAACTTTCCCAGACTTTCCAAAAAATCCGGTCATAACAGAGCCCTAAGAAATTTCAATCCCCTTTCATGGAAATTGCTTCAGCCACATGTCCTTCAGTCTGCTAGGACTGTGTCCCCATAGAATCCCACACAAGATGGTGTTTGAAAGGCACGGTAAATTAATCTGCAGAAGACCTGGTTTACCGTGGAATTAAAATCATTAAAAATAAGCCCACCGTGACTTTCGAGAAGAGAGTTAAAACTCCTGGAAAGCAAAACCACAGATGAACACCTCAGCTCATCTATCTTTCCCCCACTAAGACATAACATCAGGTGGTTTGTGTCAACACAGCAGGCTGGAAATGCTTCCAGGTATTAGAAATGGAGCAGCAGCCCCAGGCCCTCAGTCCATCGCAGCAGTTCCCAGCTTTCTGGGTTTCTTGGCTTCACAATCCCTCTCTTTGGTACACATCCAAGTAACCATTAGCCAAAAGCAGCAAGATAAGCTGTGTCTCCTTTGAAATTTTCCTGTGTTGTCTAGCACTCAGCCAGCAGTGGAAAAACCCCCTCACTTTGCCGGCATGTACCGGTGCTGAATGCCTCCCACTCTGGCATTCGCTTGTCAAAGGCAACAGCCCTCCAGAGCTTGCCACTCACAGCCAAATCTGCTGTAAGCAACCTCAACTTCAGTGTTATGCTAACACGCAGCCTGGCCCTTGGAGATGCTCCCAGACCCCCAGTAACACCGCAGCAGGCCTCGTATGGAGCAGGTGATAGCCTACACATTGCCCGGGCTTGTGCCGTGCCTCAGTTCGGGCGAGCTTCATGCTCTCTAATCGTCAATACACATCAGTGCTACACAACACACCCTCTCCTGAACCTCAAGAATGCTGTGATAAGGAATCGTATATCCAGATGAGACAGAGCTCAACTTCTCTGGTGGCAGTTCTTCTAATTCAGTCTCTCTTCATTAATCCTTAGCATTAAGTAATGCTGTTTTTTCCTCCAAATAGCCCTGAGGGAAAAGGAGCTTGCAAAGTAAGACAATGGCATTTTGTAGTTCGGGTGTTGTGTGAAGAAAAAAGTTGTATTAAGATCAGAAAGGGGCAAGAGCACTCAGGCTCCCTCGCTTGCTCTCTTGTTCCTTCCCTCTCCCTCCCTCTCACTCTCACCTCCCTTTTTCTTCTCACTTTGACTACTACAGCTGTCTGCTCCAGATGTCTCCCCCAGCCTAGAAAAAAATGACAAAATGTGTAATGTGGATGGCCCCTGAGTAAATCCACCCGAGTGCTCCCTCCAAGCAGAAGACAGCCTTAATGTGAGAGAATGGCTTTGTTCAGGCAGTCCAGACAGATACCTGGATAGGACAAGTACAGTAAATGTCTTCATCTTTTAGTGGATTATTTATGCTCAAGGTAACACACTTCGTAAATTTAAATGTAATTATTTCTTTCAAAGTCTGAGCATGTGTTAAAGAATTCAGTGGCAACTTATTCCCCAGAGTGTTTAACTCTTTCACCATCAACAGCTGATAGTTATTGTCTGGGTCAGCATCCCCATTCTCAGGAGCTTAACCAGATGCTTCATCTGCTTTGTATGATAGAAGCATACAGCCACAAGTCTCTCTACAACAGGCCGAATTTTTCTTCTAAGTGTTAATTACAGCAGCAAGCAGCCTCATTATTTTGTTCACCTACTTTTGTTGATTATGACAAAAAGTTTCTGTATTTTAAGTGTTAATGCATGTTATTAATTGCCTGAGAAAGTTCTCATGCACAGCCACTTTTTTTCTTCTATGTATATGTTCAGTATCTCATTTTCATTTCTGGTGATTTTATGGCACTATTCATCAAGATTTGTTTTTAAACAGAGGCTTATATCTTCCCTCTTCATCTTTTTTTCTGATACAAACAACAGAAAGAATTCATACATCCTCTCTATTACAAACCTCTTACTGTCTCCATTCCAGTTCAGAAGAGTACTTCAGAAGGATAAAGCACCAGTGGGCACTTTGTCTTTCTAAAGTAAAAATTTCTGAATATATACTTAGTCCAAATGTGACCACAGATGGCCAAAGCTTTGTTTTGGGCTGTCTTTACAAATGGTTGATGTTGGAAACACGACAGGCCAGGATGGCTGAAGATAAGAGGACTAACAGACCGATGAGGCTTAAATTGGAAGTAAATCAAGTTTGTTATGGTCCAAAATGATTGCACTTGGAAAAAGAACTAGACTGTCTAGAAGCACTGACAGCTGTTGCAGATGTAAGAGATACAGTAGTGACCTCAACTTATGAGAAATAAGAAATAATGTTCTAAACAGGAACATTATGGAGGTTAGAGTTCAGAATTAGTAAAATCACCATGTACATACAAACACGTGCATTCTTACTCTCTCTCTGTATCCACATTACATATAGCAATCAACATAAGAACATACAAATCAGCAAAATTACTCTGGGAAGTGAAAATAAACAATGTCAATATAAAGTCAAGATTGAAACTACATAGGAGAAAAAATACAGTTTTAAGAAATACCCTGAAATTAAACATGACAGACTCAAAGAATTTGAGTTAATGTTGGATTTCAAGGAAATCCAAATTTATTACTGTGAGAGACTCCTGAATAGGAACAATCATAAAAACACCTCTTTCTCGCAGGACTGCATTATACCCATAAGATCATCATTTAGGTATCACTCCTAACCCGATGCCACTGGAAGGGCAGTGGCTGAAAGGTCTCTGGGTCTGCTGTCCTGCTGAGGACAGTGGTGCCTCAGCATGGGCTCTGGGTCAAGGCAGTTTAAAGACCTTTGTATTAAGTCAGTAGTCCTGTGAGTTGTCCCGAAGAAACTTATCTCTGCTTATGACTCAGATGTGTTTTAGCTTCATTCTATCACTACAGGGCAGAGAAGCCTCTTGTTGCACTGAAATGCTTGGAGACGTAAGGCATTGTAGGGAAATCTTTTTTTCTATAGCAGGGGAAAATCAGCCCTTGTAAGGCAAGTACAGAAATACAGCCACTATCTGGGTTTTTGCTTGTTTCTGCATTTAAGAAACACATTTGAATAAAACATACAAACGTTTAAGAAGTGGATCTTGGAAAAGACCTCTAGAGGTCATCTGGTCCAACCACGCTGCTCAAGCAGGGCGACCTAGAGCCCGTTGCAACAATTCTACTTGGGACCACTGTAAGGATTTTCACTATAAAGATTTCCACACCAGCTACAGACTACTCTGGGAAAACAATGTCTACCTCATAGTGTCATACTGCCCAGCAAGTGATCAGGAAATAATGGAAAATCTATTGCAAATTCTGTTTCCCCTTTTAACTGACGTTCCTGTCTTGTAAGGTTCGTAAGATTCAAAACCTCCATCTGGGCTAATCAAGCAGAATGCCAAGTTATCCACAGGATATAAAAATATAGGTGGAGGTGGGGAAAATACTCTTTCCATTCACTGGTAAGTTATAGAAGAAAATCAGAGTAAATTAACGGAGGAATACAGCAAAGACAGACTATTCCCAAGGAACAGGAGTTACCACATCATGCAGCTTTCATCATTTCACATTTGAGGGCAAGGAGAGATGAGCTCAGTGAGATGTTACAAAATAATAAATGTTGTTCTACTATAGCATGGATTTAGTTTCTCCCAGTTGTTCAACTGAAATCTCACTCTGCGTTATTACTGTAGAACTTATTAGCTGGCAGGTAGAAAATAGCAAGAATAAAGAAAACAAAACCCCAAATCTCTCTCTTGGTAACAATCTGTACTAGCTGATAGTATTCCAGAAGGAATGTCACAACAGCTCTCCAGTTTGTTTTCTCTTTGTTTCAGGGCTGTTTCCATGGATCCCCAAACCTAGGCCCCTGTGAAGGGCTCCCCAGAGCATAATGCCATGTAGCTGCAGGTCACAGACCAAGCATCACATGCAGAACACAAACACAACTCCAGTGGCACTGTCAACACATTAAAGCTATTGCGAATACAGTTCAGGAGCCTAACATACCAGTACGTGTGGAGAGAGAAACAGGCCCTGGAAATACTGTTAGAAGCGCAAAGAAATTACGCAGTCTCTTGTGCTGCATTAGCTCTTAGTTCTAGCAAGGCAGATCTGTTCTGAACGAGTTTGAGGAAGCATTTAGTGCTGGGGTGGATGTCAGTATTCTCACTCCACCACACCCCAATTCATCCAGCCATGCCATGGCTATCTTAGGTGAAGAGCTTTCTGGAATTCTCCCTTTTCCTTACTACAAAATCATTCCTATAGGTCTGTAAATTTACCACTACTGCACATAAACCTACGCCTCTTATGATATCTGAAGTTACAAGTACTGTAAGAGCAACTTAAGCCAACTGGCTCTTGTGAAATCTTGTTTGTTTCTTGGAGAGACGCTTGCAGCATTTCTTTGTGGCAGTTTAAAAAACTGTAATCTTCTGTCCACATGCCAAAACAGAATTTGTTATCTGCCAAAAAAATGACTTTCCCAATACTGTCCAGGCTATTATCTCAAACCTGACCCACAATAATTAACTTCCAAGCATCGGGGATGTTAAATTGCTCAGTGATCTCTCCCCTTGTATGCACAAGTGATAGGTATTACATGAGAATTGCTATTTAGGTTACATGCACTTTTCCCCTCAGGGAAAATTAGAGCATGAATTGAGTTTTATTGAATACAATCTTCCATCAATCACTTGATGGAAATCTTGAGAAAATATGGCTATCTTTGAAAGCAGCCCAAAAAAAAGAAGTTTAAACTTTGCTACATAGTTTTTATCCCAGTGATAGTAAATAAATGTGCAAATGGATTGTCCTTCTTCAAACTGAACTGCCTCATTGAATATCCATGTAGAGACTTACAGACACAACAGCAGATAATCTGGAAAGTGGCAGAAGGACCTCATACTTCACTGTTTTTATGTTGGTTTTCCTCTGTAGAGGCTATATGACCTGTTTGAAGAGCCACCAGTGAATACTAAACAGTAAATTTGCTCCAATGTCACTGTGGCCAGCTACCAACTCTGCCTTGTTCAGCTGCCAGCCATGAATTCCATTCATTTCTTAATTTGGATGGCATTTGGGAGAATGCTGTGTCTGTAAATGCAAGCAAGAAAGCCTAGCCTGACCTTAAAAAGAACACTGAAGGTGCAAACTCCATGCAACAAAAACTCAGGGGTGGAAAGCAGGAGTTAAGGTGCCATTACTACTCTTGTGTCTTTTATCTGAAACCTGGTCTGTTAATGTTGGTAATCTGCCTTAACCTAAACTGACAAGTTCTCTATTGACACCCCAAGTGAGTTATCAGCTGATAATGCAGAGAAAGCTAGGCTCACTGGCTTTGCCACAGGCCACGGTTACTCTGTGACATTAAAAGGTTGTCCCCAGTGTAGTGAGCAACAGTAGTGGGGGTCAGCATGCGCGTGTCAGCAGTGTATTTCACAGTCTTTCGACAGCAGATGAATGGAAAGGCTCTGTAATCCTCCCGGGACCCAAGAATGAAAACTACAAGGACACTGAAATAGGCACAGACTTGTCTTCCTTTCTCTTCTTTGATCCACCCTCCACCCCCAGCCTGTCTCATCTCCTCATCCTTTGTCCCCACCCTGTTCCTTTCCCATCCTCTGATTTCAGTCGCAGGTTTTTAGGCTGTTTCTAAATCTTTCCTCAGCAACTCATGCCAAGCTCTGTCCTCTGGACTACTTTTCATTTGTATCTCACCATGGCTCCCAGCCATCTACTCCACAGCTAGGTTTCCTTTCCCCACTTCTTAATTTCTGCCTCTGTTCTTGAAAGCCCATTTCTCTTTCTCCTACCAATCCTCACAACTCTATAGCTTACTTTTTCCACAGAGTTTTTCCCTTTCCTTTCTTCTAGCACTTTTCCTCCTCCCAGTAGCTCCCCATTTCACTCTCCTTGCACGTTGGAAGCATCCAGTCCCGTCAGATTGTGCATCACCATCACGCTGGTGTACCTGCCTACATACTTTGGGTAACACCAGAGTTTCCAACCAGCTCTGCTGGAAGCCCTGCTCCTCAGGCCTCCCTTCAGCCCTGCTCTCCCAGCACAGGCCAGCCCTGGGCATCAGGCACCACTCCACACCATCACATCGCTTAGGGTCCTGCTGTCCCCAGAATGTGAAGGAGGTGTTCAGAGGAAAAGGAAGGCTGGTTTGGCCTGCCTGATATCTGCCTTTCAACTATTTTCCAACTCTTTGGTATAGAAGTTCTAGACAAGGCTATTCTGAAGCATCTGTACCAGTTAAAAGGTCAGTTACGAGGCTTCCTCTAAAACTTTGTGGAACTAGATGAAATTTTAACTGTTCAGTTTCAAGCTTGCCTGAACTCCAGTCTGATGAAAAGCCAGCAAAACTGAAATAGTTTTTAAAACACAACACATCTCTTATGACAAAACTCTTTCTCCTTTTAAGAAGTTAAGAGACTATTGCACAGAATTCCTCAGCAGCTGCAACCAACCACAAGGTTGTGTGTAATCCAGGAGTGCTTCACTGCAAGGAAAAAATAACAAAAACACATTTGGCTAACTTTACTGCCATAAATGTGAAGGGCTTTAATTCTGACTAATCACACACCTTGAGTCATTTCACTGTAGTCAACAAGTATCTTGTAAAAACAACAACAAAAGTCAGTAAGCAAATAATGATAAAATCCTTTCCCTCAAAGACCAACAAGCCAAATTGATTTCAATTTACTATATTAATTAATTGAATGAAATCAAGGTGCTCAGCGAGCATTTTTAGTTTATATGTTTGCATACATAAATTACATGTGCAAGGATACATAAAGATGAGTACTCAAGTCTTTTTTGTAAAACTTACTGGGCATCTTGGCCAAGAAGAATGATGGATTTTAACTGCTATTTCTGTTCATAATTGAATTGCAGTTTCTCAAAAAGAATAATCTCAGAGTTTCTATATTAAAATAACAGCAGCTTATGAATCGATTTACAGGCTTTGTCATCTGCTGATTCATTTATTTTAGAAAGACCAAGTCAATATTGATGATTCCCTTAGTTGTGTTACACATATTTTATGTCAGTTTCTCCTAGGATGAAGTAGGGCTTTTTGTTTATTAATTTCTCATCCCATTGTTGCATTTCATACTGTTGTTGTTGGAATGCCAACAAATAAGGACACTCACCTCCGAGGTATTAGTCTCTTCTTATGACATCAGTGTGTAGGCTGTACAAAATCGAGGGATGTTAGTCACTCACACCATCTGTGTGGGCCTGCAGAAAGGAAGATGTAATCTCTCATATGGTGTTTTATACAAAACAGCAACAATCCATATTCAGCTGCGCAGATAAAATGGATCCCTTGAGGAACTTCAGTCTGCCAGAAAGCATGTTTGTGGCTGTCAGCTGTTGGGGGTAAACTTTTTAAAACACAGTGACAGAAAACCTTTTGTTTGTCCAGAAAATAAATTTGAGGGTGGTGGCAGTCAGTTTCACAGACTATGATTTGTTAGTCAAACTGTGTTGGTATTAAGTTGCATTTTAAAAGTTCAGGGCCAACATCTCTTCTCATTTCTACTGACGTAAGAAAATTTGCGCTGGAATGATTTGAATAAAAGAAAGGAGAAAGCAATGAAATCATTTCTTCATTCTTTCTAGATATTTACTTCCCACAGTTTGAGGTTTTGTCTTCCCTAGCCTCTCAGAAGCTACCATCATGCTATTCCTCAAAGTGGGGAAAGCTGGGTCTACCACACAAAGGAGAAGTCTAAATGTATTGTTAGCAGGTCTATAAAAGTCTCCCTGCATAGCTGCATGCAGAAAGAAGAACAAGACATGCACAGCATCTATCCCCGGGCCACCTCACCTATTTGTTTAGAAACACTCTTTTTTCTACTCATGCACTTCAAATAGTGCCTCTAGAAAGGCATCTAGAAAGCATGATTAGTCACTGAGCAATGGTTCTTCTTTCTTCCTTATGTTGGTAGTTACACTTTTCCAATTTTTTAAACATAAAAAACTCTGATATTTATTTTCAGATTAAGACTAAAATCTTGTGTCCAAATTTATTACAAAACAGAGTTATTTTCAATCTTAGGAGATAATTATAATTAAATTTACTTCATAGGAATTGTTAGCTTGATGACAAGACTCTTCAAATCATTTTCTGTCATTCTTCCTTAAACTCTTACACTCAACATCCTTGAGTGTAACTTTCAAAAGAAATTATTTGGAGGAATCTTCATTTTGCCTACCATTCCCAAATGCCAACTCCCATGTTACCTAAAGTAAGCATCAATAAGGCATCTCAGCACTCTAAAACTGGAGACAACTCGAGCCTCAATCCAAATCCTTTAAAACTGTACCGGACTCTTTCGACTGATCACAAGTGGTTTTAGGACATTTCAGACTTCTCACTAGAAGTCATGTATGTGAAATAGCTTAGTTCTGGGACAGCAACGACAGTAGAGTAAATACGGGACAGAAATACCGATTAAATGATTTGCATAAAAGAATTGTGGTCAGCATAATTAGTAGCTTTATCCCGTTATTTTTAAAGCAATTGTACTTAGCAGATGGAAGTAATTTTTCTGAAGGAGAAAAGGAGGCCCCTGAAATTTCACGAAGGGGTGAGCAAACAATCCTTAGCTGCCACATATCCAAAATGCAATATCCCTCAACCTAGTGTTCTGGGAAAAAAGCTGTGCGTTACTACATCACATGTTAGGAGGTGACAAAGATGAATAGTTTTGATTGTTAAAATTAATAAAGTGGGCTACCCTTGTTCTTTTATTCACATACAATATAAATCAGCAACAAATAGTCTCTATTTATTTTTATTTCAGTCTCTGTATGTCAACTTTGTGTAATGTCTTTTAAAAAAATAGCATGTATTGCATGTATTGTGATGTTTGAATTACTACCATGTGGGATAATTGGAAACATAATTATAGTACCTCTCGGACACAAGGCTTTTTTTCCAGTATGGTTACACGCAAGGGAGGCAGATCAAGCAATAAGAAATGACTGGAACAAACTGTAAGCAATTAGCTTAGTTAACTATATGGAATTGGCCAGAATTCAAATGTGGTACAAATAAGCATAAAAAAAGGAGCTGCATTTGCTCACCTCATGTCTGAATTTGATCTGTTTGCCTAAGCATAGAAAAGCAGTAGTACTTTGAGTAATTTAGCTGTAATCCTTGCTCTGTCGTAGTTAACTAGACCGTCACTAACTTCAACCTGCAGAAGGTCAATCTCAGAATAGTTAAAAATTTTCCCACTTTTAAAAGCATTGTCTTCAATGCATTATAAAGTAGGTGCAGGGCGTAGAGATCTGATCCCAACTGCCTTTTAAAGGAAAACATCCATCAGATCTTTGCTATGAAACTTGGGTGGAATCAGGATTAAGGTTCTAGACCACATCAGAAAATTACATGTAATAAAGTAACACTGCACCATTCCTGATGAACAGAAGAGAATTCTACTATAGTGTGCTTCTGTGTTTTAAGACATACCAAAACCTGTTAAAAAAAACACAACTTTATAGATGTGCAGTAATATAAAACAACATTAAGAATAAGCCTAACTCAAAGGAGAGTTACACATAGCAAATGAACGATGATCATAACGAAATGCATGAGACATGCTTTCACTCAGTGGAACACATTTTATGATTTTCTAATCTATCTATTCTCACTAGGAATCACTGTACATAAAAAGGGCATGGCTCAAAACCTGCTGTAATCTCAAAAATTACTTTTTAAGGCACAGAGTTTGTGAGAAGGAAGAAAGGAATATTTTTCTTAGACATTGTACCTGTTGCTGGCCCCTTCTGAGGATACAGCAGCCTTTTGCAGGGCAGTTGTAGCATTCTGTGGGTTAGGGTACAGCCATAACAACTTTCTTTCCATCTCCCTTTGGTGTGTGGTTACCCTTGTTAATTCCCAGTTCCTAAGGGGTAGGAAAAGACGAGACTTTTGATTGCAGGGACTATAGCCACAGCCCATGGAAAGTAGAAGCAAGCAGAAGTCATTTGGTACACCCAATTCCCTGCCCAGGCCGGAGACACATCATTTTTTCAGATGAGACGCAACCCGGCATTCCACAAAACACAAACAACAACAACAAAATGTTCAGCCTATGACACAATGGAGGAACGAGGTTAGTGCTGAGGGCAAATTCCAAATATTTCAGCATGTTTTCCTGGATCATCTCTTACGTAAGCCACGAAATTCAGTCTCACAGCAGCCTGCTGAGAGCAGAGGGGAGTGGGCTGGGAGCTCACTGACAATAGCAGGCACATGTGCACATACACACAACCACCACGCGCACAAGGCAACAACAATTAGCTAGTCCACTGCAAATGTCAGCCAATTTATGTAATATCCTTTTACTCAGCATTTTGTATTCACTTAAGGGTGAAAAATCTCAATAAACTGTCTCAGGGGCATTGAAAGTGGGGGAAATTATTTGGATTCAAGTCCTGCTCTGATCATTTCTGCCGTTGGCTGCTCGATAGCCTATACGTTACTTCAGTCAAACAACCAGTGAAGAAGCAGGCATTTATTTCATAAGAATCACCAATGCAATTAGTGTTAACATGCTCTAATTGTTATTAACAGCAGCTGAACAGCTGTCATTTTAAGTTGACTAAGCACAATGGCTCTGGGCTGCTGCTGCTCAAGTTATCCCATGAGGCTACTCCAGAATCCCGTTTGCCCAGAGAACAGTTTTACAGATGGTAAGGAGCCAGAAATTACACACTGGATGACATTAGTGCTCTGACTTGCTGATTTAACACACCTAGGAAATAAGGGAAGATCTGAGAGTATGGGGATGAAGGGGCTAGATATAAATAATACCAATGTCTTCCCCACAGAACCTTTTAGTAAACAAATATGTTGGTGGTATACACCCACCACCTTCAAACAGGACCAAGAACCTTACCTGGTCAGTGCTTAAGAATTACTTAGTAGACGGGTCATGAAATGCAACTTTTGTCACTACACTACATTGTTTTTTTATTATATTTTTAAAGTTACTTTCATTTGAGACCTCCAGTTCCCTGTTCTTTCTAGGAAAGTGAGCAGCAACAAGCTGTTAAAAATGCTGCATCTTTCTTAAAACAGGAAAGAAGGTGGAAGAAAGCACTTTCCCTACTCGTCACAAAACAGAAGAAATTTCAGTTTGGCTTACAACTGGAAACAAAAGCTGTTGTGATCAAACCAAAACTTACAATGCACATCAGACATCAGAATTCTGAAATTAAATCATATCTTCTCACAGTACTGCCAAAAAAAAAAAAAAAAAGGAAAAAATAAGATTAATTTCCAAAACCAAGCACAGAAATTCATAATGAAGTACTTGTTACTTCTGTAATGATGTCATAAGGGTAAATAAAATCTAAGCGGCAAGCACAAAAGTTTAAATTATTACACTTGGTTTTACAGTAATTGTGTTTACCATAGGCACCTTTATTGATTTAGAATGTCCATGGAAAATTCACTTGATTAGTCTTCCTTTAAAAGCCATTGGTTTACACTCCTCATTGAGGCACTTAATTCAGTTTTCCTTAATCAAAAGTTCTTAGTAACCCATTACACATTTAGGATTATCTATACAAGGGGCAGCATTTTTTAAAAGTGATGAGAGTTCCAAAATTTTGTACTGTTTGGTGTACTAGTTTGAAGCTGACTGGTCAAACCATTTTCTTGCAGCTATTTAAAATCTTCATGATGAAGTACTCTGCTTGTTCGGTCTCATAATGGATCTGGTCTACATGAAGAAAAGTTTATTTTGGACAGTGTTGTCATAGTCATCTGTAATTCTAATGAGTACTTGTGTTTTTGATGGAGAAGGAAGACTTACTTACCATATGGATCTAACCTCCAAAACAATGGTTAGCATCATTCTCTGAAAGATAGATGCGTGTGTAGGCAATTAAAAAATAAATCTGGTTTACATGAAAGAAAATGTCCTGCAATAATCTTAAACATCATGTCAGCATCCATTTCATCTATTTACAAGATTTGAGATCTTTTCCCGGCTTTTCTTTTTTAGTAACTGAAGTTTCCATTTGTTACTCTTGCTCCTCCTGGAAATCCAGCAGTAAATGATAACAAAAATTGTTACTACAAATACTTAGATGACTTTGCTGAAAGAGTGTTTACTTCAAGCATGTACCAAGCGTCATCAAATCCAGTTTGGCTAAAACCTTCTGTCTAACATGAGATGCAAAATTTTCCTTCAGATAAAAATGAGATATAGGATATGTTACCAAAAAAAAAAAAAGCCTACAGGGAAAGAAGATTTAATGTTACACTCGTTTAAGTGTAAAAAGATGAGGTCTCACCATATTATTGCCAGTGATCCTTTATTTACATGACAGCAGTTGGTATCAACTGAATATAGCATTTTCAAGAACGAGAGGCAGATTTATAGACGTCATAAACATAGGATATCACTGTGTGTCATTGTGTAGTATCTCTAAAAAGACTGAAAGCTCCAAAATCACTGTAAATTCTACAGAAGTCTCTTTTGACTGGAATATGGCGCCAGTATTGAGCCAATGCCTGGTGAGGTGCCCACTCCAAGAAACCCCATTTGCAGGGAATGTGCAGACACCACAGACCTCTGAGTACACAGGGGAGCGGCCACTAATTTCTAAAAATGAGGTTAACGTGTTGCTCTGCCACAAAAAATAAGCAGAGGTCTGATGGATTTCTGTTTTGCTTTCAACTCAGAATTTGTTTTATTTAGGGATGTTTAATTTATAATTATATCGTGCTGGCTGAATGCTCAGTTGTGTTGTGGAACCCTGCCCAGAGGTCCTCATTGTTGCAGCTTTTAACAATTTTTTTTTTGCATTTCACAGATGGTCTGAATTTGCATTTTTCTTTTTTTAGTTCCTTTAAATATTAATTAGAAGATTTAAAAAATGAAAAAGAACAATAACAACAGTGGAACAGTTTTAGGCTTCATGTGATTACTTGCCTCTAGAACGTATCGTGGAGCTGAGTTGCTTTAGATCAACACACACACAGCAGCATGCATATCATATCAATATCTAAGTATGGTTTGAAATATTAGCAATATGTAATGCCTTCAGCATTATGCCTGATATAACAGAAACAGATCGTGTGCTGTACTGCAACAGCTAGAAAGCCTCTCATAAGGAATTGCCATTTATTGTTAGCTGCTAGTGGGTCACCAGTGCTTCAGACATACCTAAGGCAACAAGCTGACTTGCTGGCTGAGGTAATAAAAACGTTTGAAAACCTACTTCAAGAATCAGGTATGGGCTTACATGGTTAACAACCGATACAGACTGCTGGAAAACTAGAAACACAGGAATGGTGATTTTCTCCCTAATTGGGAAGAAACAATCTTCCCCGGGGTACCTGTTTCTGAGACTGCCCATCTATAGGCAGCTCCCTGTATGGTACCTTGATGTGCCCACAGACAATCCAGCAGTTTGAAAAGGTCATATGGCTCCCACAGGTGTCCCAAACATCACCAGTAGCCAATTTCTTGCAATAAACTTACATACTGAAATAAAAAGAAAAAAAAAAGATTGATAATATTCTATAGGCTGACATCTGTTACTTCACATAATACATACACAGTAAAACTGTCTTACATAACTCCATTTGGGGTGAAATTTCTTCTACAGGACTGAAAATTCCTGATTTATTGCAGCACATTGCAAGTAGCCCAAGTTCCTCTCAGAAGCAAATACTGAGATCTTGATCCTGAATACTTTATATTTGAGATGTTCCTGGGTTTGGCCTGAAGTCCCTCACTTTCCTGCCAATTTCAAATGATTCACAATGGAGTTTATTTTCTGATCTGTTGTAGTCATTCTCACAGGACTTTGTCAGATGCAGATACAGAGGGGATTTTAAGAAAATTAATTAGAAGAATTTCTGAAGTTGGTATGTCCAAAAGGATTTTAGAGGCTAGATCAGATCACGAGGCCACCATTTTTATATTAATCCCTTCCTTCCCTGCACATTTTGGAGGCGTAGGAAAAATCCTCTCTTGCCTGATTTCTGATATGGAAAACTACTCTTGTAGAAACAAGCTCTGCCATAGAAGATACACTTTCTTTGATTGTCTTGTCAGTAATTACCAAGAAATCAGCAGCTAATAAGAGATGATGACACAGTAAGGCAATCCAAGAATAAATCCTATACCACTTGTGATTCATTCCCAGAAAGTTAAATTTCAGTGGGACTTTTGCTATTGTTCTCAAAGGACTGCAGTGAGAAACTCCATGATTTCAAGCCAAAGAAAAATGAGTAAATAAATGCCTTGGAGCCACAAAGAATCCTTCTCAGGCTGCTGCCAGAGCACGGCACAAAATTAGCCTCTGCTTATGACGTTCAACCAGATGGGTGTCACCCAGGTGGAACAGATGACACATGAAACAACAGACAGACTCTCACTCTCTCATTTGACCCCCAAAGAATGACAACACTCAAATTTAAGGAAGAAATTCCTATTATCTGCTATGCATATTATGCAAGTCATCCCGTGTACATTTAGAAATAGATACAGAGCAGATTGTGTGATATAGGGGTTTTAACTACATTCATTTACCCTACAGGCATTATGGAAAGGTAAGTTGGTGGCCTGAACATCCCATACACATAAAGCCATTTTGATCTGTTGGAAAAGCAGGTATTTGGCTGCACAAACAGGAGGAGGGAAGATTATTAATTCAATTAAAAACAAACAAACAATGAAGATATAAAGTGCTGGGAAATAAAAGATACAGGCTAAAGATAAAGTTACCTCAGCAGATGTACAGCGCTTCTGCCTTTAAGAAGAGAAATCAGCAGATCAGTGCAGGTGGGCTTAAGGGAAGTAAATTGATAATGCATGTGGGAAGTACATTTTTCTGTGGATCCCACAGTTCTGATACAGCCGTACAGAATAACAGCTGAGGCTATTTATCTGATTATTGACAGCACATTACAAGTATTTTGCTGAATGAGATCCCTTACCATGTCAGATCCTTGTCCTTAAGGCAGTTCTGGGGAATGGAGACATCCCAGTAAGCTGATAACTTGGCTCCTGGGGATGACAAAACACACACAGGAGAAACCCAGCGCAATACTGACCATGCTAGGAGACCATTTGCTGCATAGTGCATACAGGTCTTACAGGGTAAGTGAAACTTTAAACAAAGCTGGATTAGTTGAGTTAGAAACAGATTTAAACTCTGAGATGTCAAACCAGGTAACTTGTAGGATATTTTCTCCTCATGAAATTTTTGTTGTTGTTTTGATTTATTTTTTTTCCAGATAAATGTTTTAAATAAATCTAGTAGGTTTACAGGGCTTCCTGCTGAAAGCAATGAATTCGTAAACAAGGGGAGCAAAATATGGTATGAATTCATCCTAGAGGAAGCATAATTAAGAGCACTTTATTTTTACAGCCCACAGTATAAACCTTCAACAACTAGAAAAGTTTGCTGTTTTTCAAAGGCTGAATATTTCAAAAAGACTGTTTTCCATCCAGTATCACAAGAGGGAAATAACCAAGACCAAAATAATGTCTCACAGATTTTATTTTATGTATGAATCAACTAGTCTAAAGGAAATACTACCTTCTTTGACTGGAAGCACGGGAGAGTTCAAGGATACAGTATGTATTTTTAAAGAAAAAACTAATACACATGTTTGGAAAGGAAAAGGACAAGACTTAAGCTCCTGGCAGTATTTGCAGACATCCACAGACATTTTGAATAGAGGTATTCTTCTGGGGGCTTTCACCTTGTCTGAAGGTTTTGTATTTGTTCCAGGTCTTGCACTGTTTATTTTAAAAAGTCAAGTTATTCTTTCCTACTGCACTGCAAACTAGAACATTACTCCTGCTAATTTTGGGGACTCGAGCAAACAGGGCAGAAGAGCCAGGCACAGATGAAAGCATAACTCTAAAAAAGTAATTTAAGTTTCCACTTAAAAAAAAAAAAAAAAAAAAAGGAAAGAAATAAACAACAAGAAGAGGTAAGGATTTTCCTCAAACTTGCAGCAATCAAGTTAGTTAAAGTCAGTACAGGAAACACAAGGGGCAACTTTTTATGCTTTTGTCAGACCACGACTAATGAACAGAGATCTGACACTGAAGATTAATATTAAAGCCACAAATAAAGATCTTAACTAAAGTAAGTGATCACAGATTATAGGGAACCATTTAAAACACATTAAAAATAATTAGTGAAACTCCAAACACACACACAAGAAACACATACACTGCAGTCTCAGTTCATTTCCATATGATTTAAAAAGAAGACATTCATTCCCTCCTGCCAAGTATGCCAATTTGTATGTAGAAAAACCATTCTGCTGTGCTGGGTTTGCACTGTATGTTATATGACTTCTGGTAGCTCTACTTGGCACACTGTAACTACAGTGCTTTAATCTTTACCCTATATCCCAAAAACAGAGCTACTGTGTTCATGGTCAAGACTTACTACTACCCTCCAATAATTACTCTGTCCTGTTATATTCCTTGCAGAATCCAAACTTGTGGTAATTCTGTACAGGCAAGCAAGGCAGAAGGCTTTTAGACAAAATCAATCAGCTTTATCAGGTTTGCAAATCTGAAAATGTCTTTGAAGGTGAAAAAGCCGAATCTTAGATGACATCAAAACTTAATTTATTACTACAATAATTCTGGCTTGTAGCATTATACAAGGCCTCACTCTATTATGCACTACATGAACACAACAAAGTTTCATCTCTACAGAGTCTGCAGTTTTAGAAATAAGAAACAGACTGAGAGAGCTGAATTAAGATTGTCTCCAAAGCTGACCTCTACCTGACATTCCCTGCAGGGGACATCCTTTTACCACTATGGATGCCAGGCTCTTACTCCACATCACATTCTTCAGTGGAAAGGATGGTTTGACCTCCTCTATCTCCGATGCAATTTTTTTTTCCTGGTCATCATTAAGTACTCAGTTACTACTGCTGTTAGAGCTTATTAGAAATTCATCATAGAAAGAGCTGCTTTTAATCGATGTTGCACTCCTCATCAGGATTTGCAGTCCACAATTTTACTCTTAATTCCGCTGAGAAACGATCAGAAAGTCACCCTTTTCCAGCATTAACAAGATTGGGTAAGACAACCATGTTTTTGAAATAACCTGTTTCTTAGGGACCGAGGCTTTTACTCCCCAAAGCAATGGAAACTTTACTGGTGTTTTTAATGAAAAAGGGATTGGTTCCTGTATTACTTTACAACCAGAGCATGATTCCCCCTTCCCCTTCAGCCTCCTGAGAGTAACATATCACTGAAGGAACATCTTGTCACACATGCACATCAGCAAAAGCATCTGTAAATTCTCGTTCAAGAACTAAATTTGTGGTAGAGGCTCATAGCAACACTTAAAACAGAAAGAAAACAACCTGACTGGCCTTTTAAAGGAAAATCCAATTCATGACAAGTCTTATTTTAACTTGTTAACTGAGGTAATCAGACATGAACATTTGAGTGAGGGCAGGGAACAGAACATGTTATTTGTATAATGTTGCTTCATATCATGGCCACCTGTTAAATTCCAAGTATCAAGTTGTAGGGCAGTCTAACATCATATTTTGCATATAATTAATTAAAGCAGCGCCTCTTGGCACATACAGAAGTCATGTACTTTTAAATTAGTCCCTGTATTTTGGCAGACCTTTCTTAGGCAAGTTAGCAGTAAGTCTGTTTAATAATCAGACTGGAGCAGATAGGAGGCACTAGAAGAATCAACTTTAAGTCAGTTCCTCCAGCTTCTGCACAGTTACTCATTTTTGCCATGACTTACCACTCTCCTGGGCAAGCAAGGATCAATATACATTATCTTCTATTAAGGTTAAAAGTGAATTAATGCACTCAGTTGCAGGTTGAGGACAAAATCCTTCCTTACCTGTTGCCTCCAAACACCACACAGAGGGTTTATACCAAGTTACTAAGAGTGTTTCTCCTGGCCTTGAAGCTCCTCTCTCCTTCCATAGTTTCACTGGTCTTATGAACACTTGTGAAAATAACCTGGAAGGCAGAACGTTATTTTCAGGAAGGTTTTAGGATTTACTGATAACAGTCTGAAAAAAGAGATAGATGGTCTTCTGTGACATAAACAGAAGGCAAATACATTAATTGTCCTAGTTCAGGAGTGTGCGATGACAGGTTAGTGATGGTAACTGAGAAACTATGTCTGTTCTGCTGCAGAATGCCCGTACCATAGACGTATCTGCTTTCTACAACTCCTCTGGAGCTACTTTGGCTCTAGCATTAACAAACAGATGTTTTGTTTTGTTTTTAAATTCACATTTAGTCAGTGAAAGCAGTGACAGATTACACCTTGGAAATAAGTCAGTTCAGCAACTGTTCTGTCTTATTTTAGTCATCTCTCAAAATCTACAATGCCAGTTAAATATTTGGTCTCGCAACATAGCAGACAAAAGCTGTGAACAGCACTAGACTCCAACCTACTGATTTGAGCTGGAAGTGGTCAGGGAGCAATCTTCCCACTACTTCTAAATAAAAACTGCCTGCCGTCTTTTATGCTCTTGCCATAATTAAAGAATAATTCTATTGTTTAAAGTATCGCTGGGTCCCCAAGGAAAGAATTTCTTTCCATCTAAACAGATTTTTATTTTTATTTTTTTTCAGTCTCTGCGAGGCAGAGAAACCAAATACAGGCTTTCCCCACTTGATTCTTCCCCTTCACATGTGTTCATTTGCCATCTGTGCATGATCATGGCCCAGCCTTTCCTTTAATCTCCCTGAAAAGCACCCAAGAATCCCTCCCAAACATGTCTCATACCCTTGTTGCATCCCCTGAAACAGCTCTCATGCGATGCTACTGACCTGGCCCCTATGCTGTAGCAATGTTTCCTACCTGACCCTGGAGGGCAGACCTACCTGGAAGCCTTTTTAGAATATATTAGATTTAATAAGCAGAGAATATCTACCATGAAATATATTAGCACACATTAAATAATAATAATATGATTATTATAATTATAATATATTAGCACACATTAAATAATAATCATAATAACCCAGGTGTCTATTCACCACTCACTAGAGGTACATTTCCCACTGAAGGGAGACGTGTATTTCGTAGAGACAGCAGGCAGGCAGCAATCCAGTTACCTTTCAACGAAGCATTTAGTAGAATCATCCTCCCTAAAGGTGCAGCTCTGTGAGCAGCAGCCTTTAACTCAGAGGTGCAACATCTCTGTACAATACAGCAACCTCAGCTCTCATTACTCTGTGCTACCTCCATGCCACTATCAAAAACAACATCTCAGGTACCTTCCTGCTGCAAGAGCTGTTTGTCATGCAGGGATCGTGACCATCAGTGAGAAAACAGGCTGCAGTTTTCCTGTGCCTCCAGTGGAGTGAGCTGGCTGGCAGCACGACCCATGTTGCAGGTCCTTAGGAGAGGGACACGTGAACACGTGGCTTCCAAGGGTGCTGCTGGCGAACACTGGGGTGGACCAACCACAACACAAAGCCATCTGGGGCCTGATGTGCAGGGAGAAGTGAGGGATCTGTTTAATCCACCCACTCTGGGAAGTGGGATTCTTCCCTGAATCCCACTGTACCTCCCCACTTTGACTGCTCTGAGGGCTGCTGCAGCTGTTCTGCAGGGTTTCAGCCTGTAAATCTATGCACTAGCAAACTCACTAACCCCTCTCCTATACGGCCCTGCCAAACCACCAGGCTATTACGTAACATCCCTCTTTACTGCCCAGGATGTCCTCCGAGGGGATTCAGAGCTTTGCACTCAAAGGCATTAACGTAAGGAGATGGTGAACGCTGTGGCCAACGCCTGGCTTGTACAAGTCACACATGAGTCAATTTGACGGAAGCTTCCCTGTGCTTAGTGTTTACCCTGACAATGTCTTGGAAAAGCTCAAGCTAGAAACTCCCTTCTAAGAAACACTGGCTTTTCAGAAGCCACTCAACACTGCAGACACGTGACTATTGACTTCATTGCTGTTCCTCTGCTAAGTCTTGAAATGCATGCCTGGAAAGGGAGTACTTGCAGGGGAACAGGAGTGCAGTTGTGCCTCAGCCATTGCTCCTCCGCTTACACGCTCCTCTCCGCTCCCTGACGGATCTGCAAGTATTGCAGGTATTTGCCAGAGGTTCCAGCTCCGATTACGTCCTCAGGCCTTACTGTTAAGCACCTAACAGTTCCAGCTCTGCAGGGCACTGTGCAATACGCGGTGCAGAATCTGCAAAACCTGCAGGCATGGACAGCCACAAACACAGGCTGCAGCTTTCGGAACTGAAACAGCAAAAATAACAAGGCTTTCAGGAACAGAGTGCAACAAACAGAATCACAGTGCTAGCACCGCCGTGGGTGTTTCCAAATTCTAAAGAAGTGGGTATTACTAATGGAATAACCAGATAGAAAGCCAAAATAGATGGAGCAGAGTGTTCTTTTACTTCTCCACCACTTAGGATCAAAACCAGCCTCCAGTCTGTCCACTTCCCTGAGTTTTTCCTCACTCTCCCTTCAACTGCATCCCTACCAACATCAGGTTTTGGAGCATTTTTATCTGCAAAGAAAAATTCCACTGAGTGCAGATCTATCTACACCATGTTGACACACTGCAGAGAAAACGGTCTGGTCCTGCGCCTGCACAATAGTTGATGCAGCGATGCTGGTGGCAAGTGGCAGAATTTAGTCTGAGATTTTTTGATTTTCCAAATTTGTGTCATACTAACTGCTCTAATTGGACTCGGATGAAACTGATCTCAAATGGATTGCTGATCTAGGATCTGTGAGACTGGGGAATCAAACTGGAATACAGTCCTTCTGCTTCAAGATGCTATCAGCAAATTATGTTTCTACAACTGAATTTGAGGAAAGAGTTGTAGAAATAGCACTAGGGATGACCACGTTCTGGAAATTACCAAAAACTTAAAGCTTAGCTTCACTCCAAGGTGAAGAATTAACACAAAGAACTTGTGCAAGGGGCAGAGTAAGAATAACACTGGGCCATGCTTTTGTACATCCTGTCACACCCTAATCCCTTCAAAAAGGGAAAGATATCCCATAAAGCCCGTGGCTTTGACACACATGAGAAAGCGCATTTCTGGTTGGTCAGGATCAGATCCATGTTTTAGATTCACTGTAGAAAAACTCCTGAACAATTCAATATTCCCTAACAAATTCCCTTATGTACGTATGTGCAGAATGTATGGCTTGTCATGTCTCTGTTGTTAAAGGTTCAGCCAAACGTACCTGTTATGCACAGCACTCCTGGCAGCAATTCAGGCTCCAGTAACAGTAAGCACACCCTTAAGTGGTAGCTCGGACCCATCTGAGTACAATGCTGGCATGTAACAGAGCGTTACCGAGGTTAAACACAGTAAGTTTTGTTTTTTGTTTTGTTTTGTTGTTTTAATCAATAGTGAGACATTTAATGCATTCATTACCTGGCAGAGCTGGTGCAATTTTAGATGTCCTGCCTGAGCTGGTTATGGGAAGCTGACCTACATTTCCCAGCAGAGGGCCAGTTCTTGATGCCAGCCTGCTGCAAGGTCCCCAGTTACTTTGATCCACTGCAGCCAGCCTTAGAGAAGGAAAATTCTTAACATCACGGGGCAAGATGCACACTGGGAACATTTGTTGTAAATCAAACACTGGCAGGAGTAAATTAAGAAGTTCAAAAGCAAAGAAAGAGGTTAGTCAGCTTCCATACACAGACACCAGAGTAAGCTTATTTCTTATTCAATTAGATGATGCTATTAGTAATTCCACACAGAGATGGGAGAGGGGAAGCTATGGGTGCTTAGAAAGTATACAAAAATAGTTTATACCTGGTAGTAACATTGTGAAAAAGTTGTGGATTTTTTTGTTTGTCTGTCTATTTTTGGAGCCAGTTTGTCAGTATCAGTTTCCCAAATGTACACAGTCTCACTAAGGACAGACCCCAGCACGTGAAGAGGGAACACGCCAGGCAGGTGGTGTTTCTAAGTAAAGGAGCAAACCGTGTTATTCCCACTGACTGGGGAACACAGGACAGCAGACTAATTTTTGAAATGTTCATCTGGTAAAAAAAAAAAAAAAAAAAAAATCCACCCCAATCCCCAGATTTGAATGCCCTCCAGGACAAACTGAAGTGGAGCCAGTGCAGCCCAGAAGAGCTCCCCAAACAGTCTGCTTCCACAGCCTCCCCCCAAGCTAACCCAAAACACCCTGGCCCGATGCAAGCCAGCCCCAGCTCTCTGTGATCCCGCACTTCCTGGCTAAGGGATGTGGATTTTCACCTCTGGCGGAAGATGCCCAGCAGCCCCTGCCTGCTTCCTGGACTCGGGCAGGGCAGGGCAGGGCAGCGGGCAGCTCCCGGGTGGGATGGCTGGCTGGGGCAGCATGGGGCACCCACCAGGCTGCTGCAAGCCCCAGTGGTGCATTCAGCTCACTGTGAGCACCATACGCCTCTAAATACACAGACACAATTTACTCTTACTGCTATTTTTCCATGTGAGAAGGTAGAGAGAAGGACCAATGAGAAAAACCTCTGAAACCTCTTCTGCTTTCCAATACCCCAGGCACGTCGAAAGCAAAAACTTCGCTCTTCCATCACACCATACCCCACACAAACGACCTCTGTGTACCCTAGGAGGAACATCTGCCAAGAGGGAAGCTGAAATTGCCCGTGGCAGCTTCTGGAGTAATTCCCGTGCTGAGAGTCGTGCCAGACACGCACAGGACCCAATTCTGTGTTGCTTCTTTAGAGACAAGGTGCTGAGGAATCCACACGTGTACACCGTACGTCACAACGCCTTGAAGGCAGCTTGCATGCTCATCCTCTGCACGTATCAAAGGAATTAAGTAATCCCGGATGCAATATCCAGCTAATTTATAAAACAGCCCATTTTGTGGGTCTGTAGGAAAGCAACTGTTAAATAATCAAAATATAATGTCCGAGGGCTTTTGAGAAAACCTCCGCGTCGCAATATTTAAATACCCTGTTATGTACTTTTAAACAGCCTGATTGGAAAAATTACATCATTTGGGATTTTCTCAACATTTGGTGTGTCAGCTCTCGGAGTCTTAGAGCCCTATAAATAGACATTTGGACCACTCCAGTACAATTCATGTATGAAATTTTTCCATAATCCACTTAACTCTATTATTCAAATAGAGCACAACTGGATCTTTTCTTGGGAACAGGGATTATGCAATGCTAACTATAGGAGGTTCAAGAAAAACAGTATAAAGCCAGACATGAGCTGCAAACATTTGCAAAGAAGCAGAGTTTTCTGTATTTATTTATATGCTGGGCTTTGGTTTCTTTCTCACCTAACACTCACCAGCTCCTTTGGCCTCTTTTGATCTACCAAACCGTTTTTCTCTCATGTCTTGGGGTATCAAGAGTATGGCCAAGCTCTTACACATCAATTGCCCAGTTAAGAATAAAGACGTAATTGCAGTATGATTACAGTGATAATCTAACTCGATCCTTATCCTGCTAGGAAGGATGGTTTAGAATTAAAATTATAAGCCTGTGCATTACGGATGAGATTTTGCCAAACCCCACTGCATTCTGGAGTTGGTTGGAAAAACAAAATACCGATGTTTTCAGATCAGAGATGGCCAAATACTGTGAGCACAGCTTTCCACACACAGAAATTATTTTCTCTAATATTTCTGAAAAGTAACTGCAATTCATATGCTCCCTTAGCTTTCCTAAAAGTTTTTCATTCACACTAAATTAGAAAATATACTCAATTCAGCAATGAGAACTCTCAACACAATGTTTACCATGCAACACGACTTTCATAAACAAATGCATACACACACCTAAACATGTCTGAGGATGAACTTCATTATCTATGCCTTTCTTTGCCTTACATACTGAATATATCAGTTACTCAGTGTGACTCACTCAGGTAAACAGCACCATGAAAGACCTACGTATGCAATATGCTAGAATATGTACAGTGTAGAAGAAAGGTCCAGCTTAAAATGCGTGTAAGTGGATTTTCTTACTAAAAATTGAGTTAGAGCCTCTGGTCAGATCAGGGCTCAAAAAACGTTTCTCGGATCCCAATTCCATCCCACACTTAAGCAAAATTGAGAATGTCGATTCTCAGTTAGTAGCTCAGGATTCCACCTCTCCTCAGAGCTCCCAGCTGTGCAGCCTCCTAAGCTGTCTCAGGAAGGGCGATTTTTTGCAGAGCATGGTGTAGGCTATGGAGCTTTGTGTTATAGAGATGGAGACATCAAGGGAAGGATCACAGGGATTTGAGGTAGCTGAGGGCTCTTCTCTAAAATATTTTCTGGGGTGGGGACCTACAGCAAGGAAAGTAAGCCCAGAGGGAAAAAACATCCGCTTACAAGAGTAAATGGCCAGTGAAGGCTCTAACAATTAAATAACAACCCCGTTTTCTGTCTGCCTTTTCACTGAAGCAGGATGCAGAGAACATACTCTTAGCCCATCCTGTTTCTTAGCGCTCAACACCACAGGACTGTCTGCCACCAGCAATTAAAAGGGGTAAATTCACTACTTCAATGAGAATCAATTCCTAAGAGCAAGAACTCACTTTAGTAATGACCATTTCCATTCTTTTTCCATGCTGTTTTCACCTGATTCATCAGACACTCACTGTGTGATTTAAATTGCCCATTTCAAACAAAAATATCCCTAGAATGCCATACCTCTTTCTCGCAACAAAATGCCACTCCTGAATCACTCTGCTTTTAGATGTTAGGTGCAAAAACACTGTACCATGGTTGTGCTTCAAACATCCCGGTAAGACTCATTTTCAGCTTTTAGCCAATACCTGATACAATTATGTTTTTCCTCTCTGCAAGGGTAACTGAAAGAACCCAAATGAAATAATCCAAAAATCCAACTTGTTACGTAAACCAAACTGTGTAGAGATACATCCACTCCATAATACCAAAAGGGGGGATTCAGCCTGAATTTGTATCAAACACACAGAAGTTTCAGATACGTATTTCAAAATAGAGAATATATTGCCCATACAAGTACACAAAAGTTAGATCTACTAATACGATCTCTTAGCTTAAGCAGTAACAGTCATAAATTATCATAATTATCTCTTACACTTGTGACGTACAGAAATTAAGAGCAAGATATTAATTAAAAATTAATTACATCTTATATAACTCTCATATAACACAGACAAGTATGAGAATGTTATGTAAGAATTCCCTACCCTTCTTTAGAAGTAAAAGGCATTAAATAATTCTCAGGATACATTTCCCAATACCTTATACGGGCAGCACACGTTCAGAATAGGAGTTTATCCAAGGACGCAAACTTTTCTCCAACTCGACTTGACAGATAGTGCCTCTTTCGACTTGACAGCGCTCCTCTTTCTACTGAGAACAGAAGGGCACATCTGCACTGCTGAATGTTACAGACATCAGACGGGATTAACCTATCCATACAGACAGTATCATTAATTAGAACGCACAGCTGCAGTTAGAGGTTAGCCCACAAGTGAGTTTTGTTTGCTATTTAACTCATCTCTAGAAATGGGAAATTGGATCTACCTTGTTACTGTTTCACAGGCAGATTTCCACTGTTCCACACACTCAAGTCATAACCACACCTAAATGCTTGCTCTATGACTTGATGAAGAAATGCAGATCGTATCTGGACTTCTTCCACTCACCGACTCATGGACTTGTTAAAAAAAAATCCTACAAGTCCTACAAAAACATAAATTCACTTGACGCAGGTGAATTTAACAGCTGATTGCTTTGGGGACCTGAGATAATTTCAGCATCTGTCTGAAGCACCAGCAGCACCAGGTCTAGAGCTCTCCGCCACGCCTCTGTCTTGGCTGTAACATTATCATAAACCCTACAGCCCTCTGCACTGCCCGTGGAGGGAACAGGACCACCTCGGAACGTACCACCCGTCTGAAACTCTTTCAGTACGTATGCTGAGGGAGAGCCACAGTCAGCTGCTTTTTTGAGGTGATGCTCAATTAAGGTCCGTGCTTCAAAAAGCGAGGTTGCTTTTGCGGTGTTGCACATAACTGCTGCAAGATACTGGCTCCAGCCACTTGCTAACGCCTGAAGCACAACTGGTTTATACTGTGCTGAAGATGCTGCCAGCCAAGGGCTGTGAAATTCCTTCACAGGCTTTTTATTCACTAGCTTTAAAGCCTGCTCTGCCAGTGCCTGACTGTGACTCAGGCATAAGAGCTCAACTGCGCCCCCACCGAGGAAAACCTTCCCGTCCCTGAGAGCGTGGTGCAGTCGGTACACAAAAGTCCAGAATCGGTCTTCCACGAGCTGCATCTTTGCGGGCACGGCAGTGGTAAGCACAGCCGTGAGCAGGGCGAGCCCTCGCACCCTTATCCTGACGGGCACCAGCTCACCCAGGTCCATCGCGCGCCCGTCGCTGGCCGTCCACAGCTCCAGCTGGGCGCCGCTGCCCACGCAGGAGGCGCTCAGCTGGGTGAGGTACGTCACGGGCTGGGCTCCGCTGGCCTCCCCGAAGGCACTCAGCACCTTCTGAGGCACGGAGCCGATCACCAGAATCTTGTTCGCCACGCACCTTTCCAGTAGGTTTTCGCACACGTGCCCTTTGACCAAAACTAAGCTCACTTGGGAGCGCATTAGAATATCTAACGATGTATTTAGCCACACGTCTCCCGGTCTGCCCTCCTGTAGGTCAGGACGCTCCAACACGGTCCTGACGTTGCGTGGCTTGGTAAAACCTAGGTGGCGATACGCTTCAGTCAGGTCACCCTCCATCAGCAGAATCTGAAGGGGTTTGTCTCCAAAGTGTTTGATAACTGTGGCTTGTTCTGGGGATACTAACGTGACAAAACCCGGGCAAACGCAAGAATAGCTTTCAGGCAGCCCAGGTAAACAGCACGTCACGACTTCTGCAATATTGAATTGAGAAGAGCCACTACATTCTGCTCGCTCATGTTGATACGCAACGATGCTTTTAAGCAATTTCATGTTAGGCTCATTGCCATGGCTCAGAGCTCTTGCCAGGTGTCCTAAACCATAACACTCACACGGATGTGCTGACTGTCCTGAGAGGCATACCTGAGAATCATCGAGCTGACTCGAAGAAGGGCTTGTTGCTAGAGCACTGAAGTATCTGCTGTGGGTTAATCTTTTCTGTTTGCAGCTGGATGCACTAACACCACTTCCAGAAATCACAGACGCATTGTTACCATCTGCTGATCTGACAGGGGAAGCTATTGATCCAAAGCCAGCCAAAGGTAAAACCAGGCCCTTATTAAGATTACTGTCAGCTTCTTGACGGGAACAAGAATTTCTTGGAACAAGTTCTTTTGATGGAGAAACTTCTTTCTGAAGGCACAGAAAAATCTGAGGATTTAGAAAACTGTCACATGCAACCTCGTAAGTTTTGCTGCTAGAAGTGTTTGGCCTAACGCTGCTAGAACACAGCTCTTTATTTACATCATGTACTGATCTCTGAAGACACTGGACTTTCTCACAGCAGGAGTTCAGCCCCTCTGACATCGCTGACACTATTGCTGAAACAGGAACGTTCTGCTGGAGGCACTCCAGGACGGCATTGCTCCATGCACCAACAAGAAACAACAGGGTGCTCATCCCAGTTTTAAACTCCTTGTTTTGCGCCTGAATGGTTTCATTTAGAAGCTGTCCGGCAGCACTACTTAAATCCAAACTTTCAATCAGTCTGACAGCAGAACAAATCAACATGCTTTGGTTGGTGCTTTCATCCACTACGAATTTACAGGATTTCATTGGCCCCAGTAACGTTCTTCCAGCTGATGCCAAGGATGAGAGCTGCTGAAGTCCTATATGTCTTCTCGAATTCACATCCCTGAAAGCCATGGCCAGCGGGCAGCATCTGCGAACAGAACACAAACTTATTGTCCCACCCTCACAGTACTCCAGAGGACACATCTCAAAATAACTAAATTAACAGCTGAATACTGAACAGAGCTCTTCTGTGAGGCACTCTGCATAAAACAGTCCTTTATGCTGTGCATTGACTATGAGATACATAGTTGCTGAAATGATGCATTGCTAAAATACCATGGATTTTTTTTTTCCTAGCAGATAGTAAAATGCCATTAATTCCAGCGGTTTCTTAGACGTGAAGCAGCCCAGATCTTACAGAACTACCATTTCTCTCGTGACTTGCTATCTGGAATTTCAGCTGTCTTCCTTAGGGCAACAGTTCCCTTGGGCAGAATGGACAACTGCACGCAAAACCAAACGCTCTGCGCAGATGCGTCTTGGTACCAATAGCAATACCACTGAATTTACCCTCCAAATCTGGACAAATATAAAAAACTTACTTTATTCCAACAAATTCATTTTATTCCAAATTCTATTTATTCCATTTAACATACATAAATACTCCATTTAATATGCATGAAAAGGAAGGCCATCTCTTTATACCTCACAAAGCAAACTGCCAAGACTTCTAGGTTTTGGCGTATTACTTGGTTTTAACATGCCAAAAATACCTCTTCTCTCCCTTGAAATACTCTCCATACCACACTCCTGTGGCAGACCACATGGATTAAACTAAAGCACTTTTTTATTTTTAATGAAAGAAGTACACACACAAAGAATTAAAAAGGCATAGCTCTTACACCTTTTATGTTCAGATTCAAATAATATTTCATCTCCTTTGTAGAACTGTTGTCAATTCAAAACCTCTTTTGCTACCCCACTTCGTGAAAGGCCAACCAAATACTAACTCAAATGAAGCCAAAGCAGGAATTTAAAAAGTAAAGTGGGCAGTCAGAAATAACCATCGTGTGTTAATAGACCCAAAGTTCTAGTGTAGCCTGAATTGACAAAAAAAACAAAACAAAACAAAACAAAAAAAACCCTTTAGTTACTAGAAGTATCTTCAAGTACCAAAACAACCATTAATCAAGAAATTTTATTTTTTTTAAGTTATCTCTAATCAGTACTTTTGACTTTGAAGCTGTACTGGGAGTGTACAACTGAAAACCTTCATCCAACATGCTTAAGGATTTTCTGGAAATTTTTCTTGGCAGTCTCTTGTGACTAGAGTCTAGGCATGCCATGTATCCGTATCAGTACTTCCAGTAATACTTTTTTTTGAAAGCCTGTTTTTTCTTAATGAACCTTAGCTTAATGCCACGGCTAGTTTGTGTTGCAACGAACAAAAAAGATCATTGGCCCACAGAATCTGATAATGAAACGTGTTTCCCCTACATTCCAGCTGACTTCTTTTAAGAATGTACTAAGACAGTAGGTTTTGACATCACTGCTTCAGAATTCAAAAAGTTCTCAACTACTGATGATTGCTTCTTGGAGTGTGCTTGCTTTGACAGAAAGATTAGATAACCAATTTGTGGTTCTCTTTGTAAAATTTGGGAAATAGATACAGTAACTATGTGGACAGGCCATGCCCCTGCTTTGATGGGAGACACGGAAGGACATTTGGGAAGGGCTTTTCCATTTTCCAGCACAGCGAGCTTCATGCTCTCCGACCAGTTCCGAACACGGGCTGGGCTCAGCCCCACGAGCTGCTGCCGTACCTGTAGGGCGTCGTGATCTCCGTGCGCGTGGAGCCAGGGCAGTGTTAGTGCAGCTCCTTCCATCAAAGCCATGTGCTGCCACCAAACCTCGACGCAGCCAACTACAAGTCACTTACCCAAAATTTCAGAAATCGTAGTTGAAGCACGTGCCTCTGCCTTTCACCTTTACGTTCATACTGCAGAACTGTCGCTGTTTGGGCTGCCAGGCTGTACCCCCATAGCTACATAAACCCAAACCAAACGGACCAAGGGCAGAACAGACGACGGCAGGGCACGTGCTGACAGAAATGATGTTTTTATGTCACTGCCTGCACAATCTTTGCGGTTCGTGTCCTGGGACCCAGTGCTATTTCCCCCACTCAGCTTTACGCTCGCTACCTGGGTACCCTCCCGCCACAGCCCGACCTGCTGCAGGAACCACCGGACCCCAAACTCCGCTTCTGTCCCTCCCCGCCGTCCCCCGCCCTCTTACCTTTCTCCACCCCGCGTGAGGGGACGGATAACGAGCGGGGGGAGCGGGTTTGGGGTCAGACGGCAGAGCTCGGCCAGGAGCAGGGGGCGCCCCCCCCCGCCGCCATGAGCCGCCGCCGCCGTTGCCAGGTGACGGGCCCGGCCGCCATTTCCCTGCCGCGCACCCCGCCTTCGCGCTGACCTCACGAGCCCTCCGAGCTCCCCATTGGTCCGGGCCGGGGAAAGGGGCGGGTCCCCGGCGCGCCCCGGCTCGCTCATTGGTGGTTGCTCGTGGCGGCGCCGAAGCCTCTTCCGCCCGGCGTTGGGAAGCGGCGGCGGCGGGCAGATGGTGAGCGCCGGGGGGCGGGCGGGGCGGCCCCGTTACGACCGTTAAAACCGTTAAACCCTGCGGCCGTTACACGGGCGGGGCGGGCTGCAGCCGGCCCTGACAGGGCTAAGGCACGGGCAGGGGGTGCGGGGGGCCTTAGGCAGTCCCAGGGCGGGCACCTGTGAGCCGGGTCCGAGCCGTGAGCGGCGATCGCGGTTTAAAACGCGCAGCCCGGGCGCTCCCCCCCTCCTCACGCAGCCCCCAGCTCGGGTTCCTTCTAGAATCATCCAGGGAAACGCACCCAGCCGCAGCCTGCCAGCTGCCCTAAAGAACACCTCTCAGTTCCCTACAGCTTCGCTATCGCTCCTTACGCAGTAGCTGCGCTGTGAATTTTCTCAGTTGCTCGCTCTCTCCTCTTCCTGAAGGCATCCAACTACAGGAAACCTGGCTTAGGCACGACCCAGCGGAAGAAAAGTGGCCTGAAACCCGAACTTACAGAAGAGCAAAAGCAGGAGATCAGAGAGGCTTTCGACTTGTTCGATACCGATGGATCCGGCAGCATCGACGTGAAAGAACTCAAGGTTCTCTCACTGCTTTTCCTTGGATGGAAGTATCGTTGGTCACACAATTGTAGCTGTGTTTTCTGTGTGCCCAGCCCTAACCTCCTTTATTCTGAAATGGCTTTGGTGTTTGAACAACAGTCACGGCTTGCTCTCATGGCCAAATTTGGGGTGTATTTCACAGTTACCCTAAGCAAGATCTGTATGCAATACAGAGCAGGCAGGCTTCTCTAACACGTAGACAGTTGACTAAGTAGCTTTTAATATCTGAGCATGTGAAATTCTTGGTGAGTTGGCACTTTCCACTAGAAGAGTGTTCAGCAAGAAAATTTCTGCCCTGCCATGTATTTCCACTAGATCATATAGGAACAATGAACATTCACAGGTCAAATCTTCCTCAAGTTCTGTGGTGAACCAGGATTAGGAAATGACTAAGCATTTTATCAGTACTTAAGTCATTGTTACAGAGCTTGGTTTTGAACAACATTAAGATTAAGCACTACCTGTTCGTACAGTAGTATTTTGCTTGTGTTGTGTAAGCCTCAGAAAGCCTTTCTTTTTCCTTGACTAGCACAACACTCACCCTTTGATTTGCTGAAGCTGAGAAATTTATGGAATATTGTCAATTGCCTCCCCACGTAGCCAAAAGTGCCAGGAACTATACATCTGGTTTTCTTCTATCCGGGTACTGGATTGCCCAAGTTAACCACATGTAATCAAAACTAATAGGCATTCTGCCCTAAATTTCAGATGGAATGAAATCACATCCCTGATCCTCCCCCTTGATGTCCCTTTTAGGAGCTAGGCTGAAAATCAATCTGTAGTTCAGAAATGTAGCTGGAGCTTTTACGTAAATGTGACCAAAAGTTTCCCTTAGTTTCAGAAATAGATCCGTGTTCCACATAGATCCAAAGACAAAATAAATCTGGAGTCTCACAAACTTCAAACCTACACTATTAGTAATTAGAAAGATGAAACAAGCGAGAGCTGTCAGAAGGTCTTCCTTGCAGTGAGCTGTCATTACAGTTTTGGAAGAAGAAATTAAAAGAGCTTTAATGCAGCTGCTGCCACTAGAATTTTGGTGGCCTCCTAACAGAATTGCTTTTTGGCACAGGTTGCGATGCGTGCCTTAGGCTTTGAGCCAAAGAAAGAAGAAATTAAGAAAATGATAGCAGATATTGACAAAGAAGGAAGTGGCACCATTGACTTCGAAGACTTTTTGGCTATGATGACACAAAAAATGGTAGGAATTGTTAAAAAAAATCTTGGAATAAAAAAATACCATAAAGGGATACATTAATAGCAGGTGTTTAATTAATATATGTTGTACTTTCATTTTAGAGTGAAAAGGATTCAAAGGAAGAAATCTTGAAAGCTTTCAGGTTATTTGATGATGATGGCACAGGAAAGATTTCATTCAAAAACTTGAAAAGGGTTGCCAAGGAGCTGGGAGAAAACTTAACAGATGAAGAACTTCAGGTAAAGTCTGACTTGCCAGAGGTTTTCTACTAGGAATGAACCAATCGTTGTGGGAAATTCATGCCTATATGAAAAGAGCTGAGAGGTTAGAAATGTGTGGAATAATCAAATACATAGTTACAGTTTTGTATGAAGTACTTCTGATTTGTTTTGTAACAAAAAGATTTTTGTTTAGAGTCAAGCCCGGTGCCTGACCAGGTGTACAATATGTTTTGTAGGAAATGATCGACGAAGCTGATCGAGATGGAGATGGAGAAGTGAGCGAGCAAGAATTTTTAAGAATCATGAAGAAAACGAGCTTATATTAGTATTTGTTGCCTTGCTTTACGGCTGCTCTAAAAGATAACCTGGAAAAGACTTAAAAATGGGTTTGTCTCCCCTGCATATTATATGCCAAGTCTGAAACGACAGAATTTTGGCTCATTCTTCTTTTTCAGCAAAGTTAATTGGGGAAGGGGGGCTTCAGTACCCAAAAGAACTGTTCAAGTGAGGTACTGCAGAAATGAAAAGGAAGGATGAACTGAACCTGCCAGGTAAGGTCCCTTTAGCCCTGGCCCCCAGCTGAGGATGTCAGTGATGCCATCTTGGATAAAAAACGCTGTGTCCTAACTATTTAACTGAAAAAGTGAACAACATCTTGCCTGAGATGTGAAGGTTACCACTGTGGCTGGAAAACACCAAGTCTGACTTTCCTAAGGCTATATAATAAAGAGATTAGTTTATAACACCTTAAAGAATGAAAGTACAAGCACAGTATTTTTATTCCTTTTAAGGCTTTTAGGTTATCTTGTGGTATTTCTGTCCTTTTGTTGCTTTCCGTAAAAGACTCTGAAATCAATTGCATATTTATTTCTGTATGAAACACTATTCTCATGGCGATTTGGTTTTGGACCTCAAGACAAGCAAATGTAGGCAACCAGTTTTAGTTCACCTTCTGATGGCATGCTGCTCTGAAGGAAGTTCTTTTGTTTAACTATTCCATCATCCAGTCATCTGAAGCCTGGTTTAATTGAGTCTCACCTGGTTGCAGTATCAAAGGTTATTGAATGCTCAGTTCTAGGGCACGCTGTGGTAAATTCTCTTCCAAGCTATTTACAGTCAAGTGGCAGGGAGGATTGGCATCTGAAGTGAAAAAAGAGCTCACCCAAGACAGCTGTGAAACGGGGAAGATATTTAGAGCCATGCAATCCAAATTCTTTTCAGATGTCACTATTTTTAATTAATTTTAAGGAGTATTTTCATTTTCTTGAGTATTTTTTGTATATGCTCTCACTCCTGGACTTAGCATCCATGCTGACAACATGGCAGTGACACACAACGTAACATCTAATCATGCGCTCCTGCAAGGAGGGTTTATCCTTGGGTCCTGATTAGACAATCAGCTTCAAAACTGCAAGGAAATCCTCTAACCCTAAGCCACCTCTCTCTCTAAAAGCTGTTTGGAGAGTTTGTTCCTGCTCACAGTGGCAACTAGGTAGCAAAATGCCAGGAAAGCGTTCAGTGGGAAGAGGGAAAGGACAGAGTTCCACCAGTATGGGCTAAGCTCCCTCTTTCCTCCAAACAGCTCCAGATGCTTCACAGCCACTAGCAAGGTTTGTCTCTAGAGAACTCTGTAGGAGGAAGGAAGAGACAGCTCCTGGACTGGCTCCCTGTTACAGCTGCTTCTGTAAGGGCCCAGCAGGGGGAGAATTAGTTTCAGCAGTGGAAAGGGGAAGTGTTCATTTACATTTCTTCCTGGCATACAGATGCGGAGCTGGCACATTCTGTCCAAGTCCTCTGAGTTTTGTGCTCTGAACTACGCTCTCTGAGCAAACCCTCTCTAACCTATACAGGAGTAGGCTTAAATGTGTGGGGGAACAGGGATTGCATAGGGCCCTATAAACCACCAGAAATCTATCTGTGAAGTCCCCTAATTAACATGCTCGGTGGCAGTAGATGTAACTGTACGCTTTTTTAAATGTCTGTTAACTTTGTATAGTGTGAAATAAAACTGTTTTGCAAGTTAATGATGTTGTGTGTTCACAATGAAAATTAAATTTTTTCAAAAATAACTTTGAAGCACTAAGCAGTTTTACCAGGTACGTTTTTGCTTTATCTTCTCTTTCTAAGAGAGAAATTCCTAGGTGCAACTGTCTATCACATAATCCTTCTCCCTCTTCCACTACGCTGATTAAAAGTTTCTAGTACTAACCCGTTATCACCAGAAAGGGAAACTTGAAGTTCTAGTTGATTATGGGGAATCCCAGTGCCTATTAGAGTGACTGTACTTTCAACACCACCACAGGAAGAGATTGATGACTGTTGCTTACCTACCTATGATGCATGTCACGGCTCCCTTCCTGTTCTAATCCTGTTACTTTTCTTCTGAAGGGAGGAAAAAGACATGCAGTCATACCTACTGAGGAGGAAATTTTATTTCTGGCTTGCACATTAATCTCTCGAGTCTGGAATGTTGGAAGGTGCCTCAATTAGTGCAGAGCTTGCATGTGGTAACGTAACAGAACAAGTGCCTCACGCTGCTTCAGTCTGCGGTATGGCGAGGGAGATCTTGTCCCCCCTTCAGCCACCAGACACGCAGGAGGAGAACTAACAGCAATGCGGACAGCAGCCTACAGCCGTGCTGTGGTTCTCTGCAAATGATTTTTAGTGTCACTGCAGATCCTTCCCACACCTTCAGAAGTGTATTTGTTTACAACTCTATACGTGGTGGAGGAAAAGGAGCCTGGCTGAGCTCCGGGTTCGGCTTTTGTGGGGAACTGAACTGCACATGCAGTAACTCACCCTTTTGCTGGGCTGGAGGCGCTCGGCTGGATGAGTTGGGAACATACCCAAGCAGATGTTTTTCCTGGCTCTGTTCTAGTGACTGCTCAAGTAACTTACCCTAAATCAAGCCATGTCTCTAGAGGAGATGGATTACTTGCACCCCTCTCCTACCCTTCCCATTCACTCATTGCTAAAAAATAAGCCTAACATGAAAGCTGGGGCGCTTTTAGGAGACTTGGATTCACTTCCTTTGCACTAAAGCACTGAAGAGGAGGGAAAGCAGTGATCTGCATGACGGGACCCATCCCTCGAGGCACCTGAAGCTGAGAGCAGCCGTCTGTGGGTGCAGAGAGCGGCACCTGCTGCAGCGGGGCTGGCTCCAGGCCTGACCAGAGGCAGGCAGCCGTGAACCCCGTTCCTTGTGCCCCTTTTCCCCTTGGTGGTGACGGGGAGGCCGGGCTCCCAGGCTCCTACCTGCCTGCGCAGGGTCCCCTCAGGTGGATGGCTGCAGCGCGTATTTCCAGCTGGGACTCTCCCTCCTGCCACGTCAGGGAGGCTGGGCTCGCAGTTTGAGCGCTCACGCTGGTCGGATGCTGCACGAAAAGGAAAGCGGAACCGCAGTTTGTATCGGCTAGCATCTCAATATCAAAGCACTTCGGGATGGTAGCTTCTGGGGAGATAACGTTGCAAATCACTTCCAATGAAAAATGTCTAAATAAAAATGCACTGCATTTTTCAGAAAATACAAAGTAGTTCAAAGAAAAAATAATTTACTTACAAACAACATTGCAAAATATGGCAATTTTAAATTAATCTTTACTGCTAGCTCCCCTGGGCAACTTGGAATTCTTCATTATCTCTCTGCCCCACAGAAACTTGTGATATTTTCAGTTGGCTTTGGGAAACCAGACAAAACCAAAACGCAAGGTGACAGTCTAATTTGCAAGGATGTTTTAATTAATCTGAGCTGGCAACTTCAGGCACTGGACTGCCGTGCTTTCTCACCTTCTTGAAGGCAGTGCAAGGAAGGAACTGCTTCCCGTTGCACCTGTGTCAAACACATGGAAAGCAGCACGCCAGGCAGGCACAGCTGCCTGCAGAGGCTCGAGGAGCAACCTGAGGTTGCTGGAGGTGCCCACGGAGTTACCTGGAAGCGGGTGCTATCGCTCACATCGCTAGGCACACATTTGGGTTTGGATGAACAAACACAGAGCCCATTTCTAACGAAAAACCGATCGCTTCTTTTTAGGTAATCTTGGTATTTAAAAGGGGGTGGGGGAAAGTAAGAACAGAAAACCCTGGTGTACTTTCACATGCCAAGAGCCCTACCAACAGTTACAGCGGGAGCCGAAATATCACCACATCGATGAGACACCTGATGCCAAAGCATTTGCCATCTACAGTTTTGCAGAACAACTCTCGTGGCCCACAGACTGCCCGGCGGGGTCACACCACGTATCTGAAGAGCCCGTTCCCTGGGAACCTCCTCACGGAGCTGATCCACATCACACGCTGACGTGGTACATTTGCTTTTCAGCACCCCTGGGCACGGTGAGCAGAGTTTGAGAAAGACTCAGGCAGTGGAAAGTGTTCTGGGCCAGAATTCACCATCACCACACGCAGCACGGAAACGCTGTCAGAAGAGATTTTTCTGACATGGGTTAAATCTTTCTGTGAACTGAACTCACATTACTCTAAGCCTTAAATTCATTCCATTCGCTGCTTGGTGCTTTTTGCAGTCTTTGCAAGCCTACTGGCCCAACGAAGGCTTTGGGTGGTGCATATTTTCAGAGATATTCATTCTCCCAAAATAGCAATGCCAAAGCCAAATCAGGAGTGTTGAGACCACATGCCAGTATCATTGCTATCAGCCCTCCTGCTCACTCAGAGCTTACTCTCCCTGCTACAATTTGTTTGAAAGTTATTTTTATTTCCCTACCCAGACAAAAAATGAAAATGAGAAAAAATAATGCTCCTAAGAGGCTTCAAAGCACAAGTTTTCTTTCAAATCTTAGTTACGTGTGCTGACAGCAGCCAGCCACAGCCACCCGATGCAGTTTACAGCACTCGGGCAGAGAGAGGAAATAATCAGAGAGTTTCGGGAGTTGTGCAGCCATCCTGCAGCACGCTGAGCAGCACACAGGGCTCGCACATCCCTCCTGCAGCAGGGACCAAGCAGCCTGCTCAGCCTAGCAAATGTCAAATCCGTGACACGTGAGGAAGGCATTCCTATGAGAAGAATTCCGGAAAAATCTCCTTTCTGCCATCCACGTACAGCTATCGATAGCATACCCGTGAGTGACCAGTGGAAAGTGACACAAACACCCTGTGTGCTCAGAGCCTGGGCACGGCCCTGTCCCAATCACCCCCGCAAACAGGGGGCCACGAGCCCCCTTCACGTCAGCCCAAAGGCACGGGGAAGGTCTCTGCTGAGCAGGCGTACAAGTCTCATTTCATTTCTGATTTTCTGGGCATTGCACACGCTGCTCACCTCCAGAATGTGCTCCTGCGTTGTTGCTTTAAGGAAAGACGCACAAGTCTTTCATTTCTCCCCAAGGAAGTAAAGATCAGAGATCTGAGAGCGTGACACAGTCTCGCTAGAGGGCATCCAGTTACTAACATCTAAGATGAGTGATGCTGATTTCCCTCCTCTGTGGCTTTTAATGACGATCAAAAGTAGGCTAACAAACACCATCCAGCTGGGGCTTGAAATATGTGGTTGGATACTTTTTTCTTTTTTAAAAAGAACACAACACTTTTCACACAAGTGCAATACAAAATACTGTAATTATTAGCTGCTTGTTCAGAGCTAAACCCCCAAACCACACTTTCTGAAACTCCCACTCTGTATCAATAGTTACAGACGTGCTCTTAGGGGAGCAGGGAACTGAACTTGCCTTTCACACAGTCCCCCCGAGTGCCCTGCCCACTACTCTGTAAGCTCATTTTCTCTTTTGGGGAATATTGCTCTCAAATGGAACCACTTCAAGCACAGAGACAGAGACAGATCCTTTGTGGGATGCTTGTGGGCCCCTCTTGGGACACAGGAAAGCTGGAATGAGAGTTTTGCTTCGAGTCAACAGGAACAAGGATTAGAGAATTCGACTCTTGCCCCAAGGTGAGTGTGTTGACCTTTAAAAGAATGTCTACGCTGGGATGAATGTGTCTTATCTCAGTGGCCTTCTGGGGGTGGAGAGTGACCCAAGAAATAAGTCTTCAGGAAACTGCCTGGCCAGAGCTCATAAGCAAGGCAGATGGACATCTGCCTTAAATTAAAGGCTGCTCAGAATATCTGGGGCATAAGAGCTCGTACTTATCTACTGCTGCACAAAGATGGGGGCCCCATCAGGAAAGGACATGGAGTTAGGGCTGGTGCAAGACAGAGAGCCTGAGAAGTCTGACTATCCAAAACCTGATTTATATGTGCCTGATCCCTTAAGCAGCACAGGCAGGCAGAAGGCCTTAAGCCACATCTCCCTGCTGAGTCAGGAGCCCAGCAGGGCTGGCTAATAGGAAACGCACTCCCATCCAGTCAGCACAATGTGCCTGAGCAGTTCAGACCTGGTCACAAATGGTAGGGACTGGGGCACCTACCTTTAAAAGCCTCTGCCCTTCTTCGACCTCTGCTCTTTGATAATTTTAGGGGTGCACTGGCATAGAGCTGGAGACCTAAAACCGTAGCTGTCAACTTCTTTGGAGGTCTGGCTGCCACCAACACAAACTTGAAATTGCTTCAGCCGCTTTTTGCTGGTGAGATTTGATGCTGTGAATAAGAACAAAGCAAAATTGTCCAACCTGAGTTGCAAGCATGAAAGACGCTTGGCACAACCATAGAACAACCATAAGCTTCACCTGCATTTACTCCCCCAGTGTTTGATGCTCGTGCTTGGACGTGCATGCTGTATGCATGTATGCACATCTCACCATCTTGCCACTAGTCGAGTTCCACGTACTTTTGATATGCAGAAAGTACAAATGCAAGCGTAGATTTACAGGTGTCCTTCGGAAAGAGGGCGGATTTGCTGTAATATTTTAGTCCCATATAGGATAGGGTCTGTACACTGTGGAGTTATGACAGAACAGAAATCTAGCCCTTACTTTCCTGGGGTGAAAACCCAGAGGGTTAAGTCCACGGACAAAGTTGAGGCAAGGGTAGGAAGGATATTGCCACTCCAGTGACACAGTTAAAGCCCCCAAGGCAGAACTGTGCTGCCAGGCATCGCAGAGAGACTCATCAAGCTTTTTCAATAGCTAGCTGTGGCAAACAAGTCCCTACAGTACAGGCAAAGGCAACATCTGCCTGTAGCATGAGCACAGCAGCACGCAGGTCTCCCAGATGGGAAAAGGACTTGCCACGTGAGCCAGCTGCAGGTACATGGCAAGTCCCACTACTGGCTTCGGGGTCTGCAGCAAGCTGGTGCAGTCCCAGCGAGCTGGCTCTTCTTCTCCAGGCCGCTGTATTCCCTTTGGAAGTTTGATTGCTTCTGGCAGAAATCTCACTAGAAGAAGCACAACCCTCCCCTGCTTCCCTCAACATTAAATAAATTTTAAAATAGGTTTCCATAGGAGACATATAAAATGGCTAACCTAGCCAGCTTGTCAAATTATTTTAGAGCACTCTGCCTAAAAATATAGCTTAGCTCAAATAAAACTAGCAGAATTTACAAATCCAGGCCATTGTATGAAGTTCACACTACTGTATGAAGGTCTTTCCTATTACGGTTTCTTCTTTACCTGCCTCTACTCAATTTCCTCCACAAAGAGAAAACAGATGTATGCTTTCTTGTAAATTCTTTCAGACGTACAAATGAGAACCATGAAAGATCTAAACATCAAGGAAAAAACGATTGCAAACATTGCAGGTTTGATTTATAAACACAAGAAGGTATTTCACTAGGAACAAGCCACATTTACAGACTTTAAATGTCATATCAGATCATCTCAATTTCAGATTCTCAAAATCTGTGTTCTCCATTTTATAAAAAAGAAAGCTGACGGGTCCAGATGTTTCCTCTTTAGATAGCTTGTGCCATGATCAGACAAAGGTGAAATCCACAGAAGTGTGGTTTCCACACACCTTTTGAATGCTTTGTGTACCATGCGCCATGTAGTCAGCTATGCGAGGTCAAAGACGATGGCTGCAGAGTAGCTCATTTTGGAAAGGGAGGTGCATAAATTTACCAAACATTTTGTTTCTTTGCCCTCCCCCCTGCAGATAATAAAAATAAATGAAGCCCAGGTATAGATGAAGTCTAAAAAAGTGGATCATGAAGAACCACTCTTTCCATCTTAAAAAGCTATCCACCAAAACCAACATCTTTTTGTTGTTGTTGTTGTTGTTGTTGTTGTTTTAAGTTCATTTTTAGTTCATTGTTTCAGATTTCTGATGACTTTTTCTGCAAGTTCAAGTATGCAGGATTGGTAGTCCCGCATTAAAATCCACAACTTTTTAGGGTGTTTCTACCCGTGACCAATTTCCAAAACTGTCAATTACTCAGTTCTTGATGGCTAATTAGTTACACAGGCAAATAGAAACCAGCTTTGTGTATGACACTGCCAAATGAACACAACAAAAAAAGATTTTTCAGTAACTTTTTCAGTTCTCGTAGTCCAAGCTGTTACCGGTAGACCTAAAGGTGCATTCTGCAGAAACAAACCAGGATTTTTTTTTCAAGATGAGAAGAAAAATTGAAATATGCCAGTGGATGCATGGTCTGTCTACAGCAGATGTATGCTTCTGTAAGTAACGTTTTCTGAAATCGGTGCAATTATTTTCTGGGAGCAGAAAAGCACTTGGAGTTGAGAACAGAATTTGGTCAACGTATCCCTTACCTGGCAACTTCTCAGCTTTCTGTTTTGTATCAGGGTCCAAAGTATTTAACAAACCGGCCAATGGTCCTAAGTATTATTTCTGCTCACGCTGCAAAACAAATAAATATTCGTTGTTGAATCCTGGTAAAGTAGGTCACTACACGGGGGAGTAAATGCTTGGGATCCTCATGCAGAAAGCAATTTCGCTATTTGCTTACATTATTAAAAATAGTAATGTTACAAATCCAAGAGAAAATACGAAAACGCTTAGGTATCAAAATTAGAGGAGCTTTTCCCAGAAATATAGCAACTTTGAGAAGCGTGATGGGAAGACGCGAGTATTCTCGTTCTTCCTAGTAGCAAAACAAGATGTAACACACGTATTAAACAGGATATTATTTATTACGTGGGGATTTTTGCGTGAATATTCAGAATTCTCCTGACTGTCAAGTGCCATGCAGTACTATGACTCACTAAGTCAAGCTCTAGGACGGTTCAATCCTGACCACCTCCTGCTAAGGGCTGAGCATCACCAATTCCCATTGCCTTCAACAGGACGGAGAGGTGCGTAGCACTTCTGCAAAACTGGGCCCTAGACAATGAAGGCTTTAGGTATGGGCTTCCTATTTCCTGCGGTGGATTTGTGTAGGTGGCCTTGTTACCAGAAATCCATACTCCTACACAGCAATTTCTGACTGTGTTTCTGCAGAAATGACTATGATGAAAGGAATGAAATATTTTTAAAATAAAAATCATGTGTTTGTTTCTCCAAAGCGATTAGAGTGCATCTTGCTGGCGAGATTAATTTATTCACCTCCTGGGTGGCAAAATTAAGAGCAGGACGGAAAACAAGAGGATGAAGAATTTCAGAGGCGCCGAGGCGCGGGCTGCTGGCGCACGAGGAGGCGAGAGCCCGTCTGTACTGCCCCGGCTCCATCGCCAGCGGCTGAGTCACTGGCCCAGCCTGCAGAGCTCCTCGCGGCTGCATTTCGCAGCCAGGAAAATCCCACATCCTCCCAGTGGGTGTAGGAAACGCAGCTACGGCCTTTGGATGCGTCGGCGCCAGAAACAAAGGGCAGATTGTGGTGTGGGCCGTGCCCGCGGGCGTGGGGCCAGCGCCCGAGGGCCTCGTTGCCGGCAGCCCAGGTCTTGGGGCACAAGGGGCCGTCGGTGGGAGCTGGGGCAGGTCCCCACACAGGGATCTGCTGTGGCCCGCGGGAAGTGGCCTCTCCTGTCCCACCCCAACCTCTTCCTCTGCTCTTTTGTGAGGGGCAGGGCGCACCCAGCCCTTGCCCGTCCCCCCATGCTTTCACCTTCGGGTGCAAGGTCTTACCGAGGTCAAGCCTTGCCATGCTGCCGTGGAGGTCTCCAGAAATACTCCTCTCATCTTATCTCCCACCCGTCTTGGCTCACCTCTCAGCCACTCCCCGGGAGCAGAAGATGGAAGAGGTGGGTGCAGTCAGCCAGGGTGACCCGATCCCAGCTGAACGCTGCCAACGCTGCTTTAGACAGTGGCTCCACACACGTACTGCTGGGAGGGCACACGAGGATGATGCTCAGGGATCGGTGTTATTTCCTTCTCCAAGTTCCTCACGGCGCTTCCCAAGCTCACATTTAGAGTGCCGCTGCTCTGAGCAGACCGCAAGCATCCTGGGTCAGGCAGCCAGAGCCTGGCTCTCCGGTCTAAGGCTAAGTATTGCTCTTTGGAAAGGAAACACATGGGCAGACTGACATGGGTTTGCCTGGCTGTCTGGGTGATTGCTGCAGACAGGAGCTCCTTTGAGAAGCTGCTCCTGCAACGCTGACAAGAGGAGACCTGGCATCCCCAAAGCTGTGCTGGTGCCCACAGGTGGCAGCAGAGCTGGCAGCAGCAGCAGGGATTGCCTTAGGAGCACAATTAAACAGCCCCGTTAGCCCTCTGCAGCACAAGCTGTCCCACAAAGTCTCCGATGGCTTAAGAGCTCAGCAGGGGCTTCTCCTTTTCCTCCAGCACAAAGCTGCTGCCCCTGCACCTCCAGCACTGCCTTCCTGCTCTGTTTGACTGCTTGTATTTTTCCTAGGAAGCCCAGGAAGCGAGTACCATGAAGTAAACAAAGGAGAGAAAAACCTTTCCTGGCACCCATGCCCTGTTACATTTTTTCATGCTCACATTGCACAAAACAGGAAAGCCCAGGCAGAGGAAAACAGCTCCATCCCAAAGGGAAAAATAAACCACCCCTTCCCAGCTCCATCTCGGCAAGCATTCTTGGACTAGACCAAGTGCTGTGACCACGGGCAGCCAAGAGAGCCTGCCTCTGTGAGCCGTGCCAAAGGAGGTGCACTTCGCCCTACCCGGGTCACCACAGGATGGTTCAGCACCGGATCACAACACCAACTTCTTCTTCAGAGGGGGCACCGCAGGGCCAGCTGTGCCATCGGCCTGGCTGGGGAGGAGGCAGCCACCTCGGGACAAGCTGGTCACACCACGGGCTCCCCCTTCCTTGGGCTCGTCACACCCCCTGTGAGGCAAAATGTTTAATACCCAACATTTAATACCCACGACAGCAGGTTTCTTTTGCAGGTACTTCGTAGCTACCATCGAGGATATTGCTGAAGGCCTGTGGCTGTGTTCCTGGGGTGAATTTCCTTTAACAAGATGGAAAGGCTGCACACAAGTGACTTAGGATGTGAGCTGTCCTTATGTTCAAAAGTTTAGGATGAATCTTTCGAATGCCCCCTGAAAACGTAAAGGTGGCAGATGAATTCCTTGTAAACTAGAAAATAATCTGTTTTTAAAGACTGAAACACTGATAGAAACTGAATCTATGTATTTAATGGAAAAAGGAGTCTAGGACAGTATTTTTTGTGGCATAGTTGCCATCCTGAAACTCTCATAGTTCAAAAGGTGGCATAAGTCTTTGACAAAAATGAAATCGTTTGACACTTATTTCAGCAGTTTCCACTAAGAAATTGTCTCGTTCGAGGCACCATCTCTTCAAAAACATTACATCGACTTCTGTAGATGTTGCTCGATAACACTCACCAAGTTCCTAGCAACTACCACCATTTGTTATCTGCATGTGAGATTTTAGGGACTATCCAAGCAGAACAGAAGAGCCCCATGCCCTAGAAAGCCTTCACCCTCAGCGGCAAACAACTGATCACGAACAGTACACACAGGGCAGCGCTGGCCAGAAATCCAAGAACACTAACCTCCTTCTCATATTCTTAAGAGTTTTCCAACGCCTCTGGGAAATCTCTGAAATTGGGGTGCTTTGGAAATGTCAAAAAACACATACTTTAAACGTGTAACAAGAAAGTGGTAGAGCCTCGAAACACAGATTAGCAAGAGGCAGAAGGGAACATACTGAGAGTGAGTGGGAGATGCTAAGGAGGCTGCATCACGGCCAGCCTTGGCTGAGCAGACATTTATTGTACTTGCATTGAGTGCCACGGAGCAGTGAGATGTCACAGAAGTTATTTAAGCAGAGGGGTAGGCTTGGAAAATTGTCTTTGCAGCAGCACACAATGACTGAGGGAAAGCCAAGAAGAATCCTGCAATGGCAGATACATGAGAAGAAAGGTTTCATTCTGTGAATAAAATCTTTGTGTTACTGAATAAACACATCCAGATTTAAGCATTCTCTGGATTCAGTGCTGTCCCTGTCAAACATGATGCCCAAGTTGGAAGTCTGAGCAAGACACTGAGGCTTTCATTCTTGAACAGCAAGTACCATCAACTCTCAGGTGTGTGTGGGTGCCCAATCCATATGCCCTGCTGCAAGTGCAGAGGCACTGCAGAAGTCCCTGAGCAGAGCCAGCACATTCAGGAGTGGGTAAAGCAAGTGAAGCCGTACAGCTCTCTAGGCCTGGAGAGGCCCAAACCCAGTTTTTGTGCTTTTGGCTGGGAATCACCAACATGTGGCTTAGTCAGTGTGATGCCAAGCCCCTTGGCTGCTTTTGGATAGGGCTGCTGAGTTTTAGGTTCCGGCAGCACCAAGGAAAGTGAGCAGAGGCTTTACAAGCACGTGGAGTCAGCGTGGGTCTAGTGGCATATCCGCAACGACAAGCCTTGGTGGGGACCTGAGCGATGCCTGTGGAGACATGCAGGTGGCTGCTGTGGAGCCAACACACCGGGCAGGCTGAAGCTGAGCCAGCTGTGACCACCTTGCTCCACCTCAGGCAGATGGACACACGCTGCACTCTCTGATACTCCGTCTGCTGTGCAGTTCTGTCACAGAACAGGCCTCCCAGCCCCTTCTTCTCTTGGGCTGCAGCTCAGAGAGACGAGCGGGAAGCACCGTGACACGTGAGCTATGCGGAGCTTGGGCTCAGCAGATACTGCCTGAATCACCCTGGGGCTAGAAGCACCCACTGTGACACTGACCTAGTAAGCATCTGGGATGGCTTCGGTGTCAGGGACTGAACGTGCCCTTTCGCCGTCTCGTGCTGGGTCACGTCCTCCACCGTGCTTCCTGTACCTCCCCGGTCTAGAGCTGGGGAGCCGTCAGTAACCACAGCGCTGTGACTAACGCGGCACCGCGGCACGCTCGTGAGAACGGTCGGGTCCTCCCCAAAGCCAGACAGCCCGCAGGCAGGACAGCACAGGCACAGCTCTCCTGCTGCCTCCCAAAGCCCGTGTAGCACCCAGCGGGGAGCTGGGAAGAGGTGCAGACAGCAGCAATGCACGTGTAATATGATGGAGCACCTTGAGAAAACGTACAGCAAACTGCAGAGAAGTGTTGTATTGGGATTGCTGTGCCTTTTGCAAGGCTGGCCTCCTGGCCACGTCCCCCCTCGGAGGCCAGCAGCTCCCTGCCCGCCTGCATCCCTCCAGCTCGCTCTGCACCACCGCCTCCTCCCACGCCGCCAGCTGCTTCGCTGCGCCCCACCTCTGCCCTGCACGGATCTGCACCAGTTTCAAGAGTCAGGTTATTCTTGCAAAATAATACACTCGCTCAAAATAGCACTGGAGGCTTTCTCACCCAGGTCCTTTACGGTGGTGAGCTGACCAGATATAGCTACTACTGAGGTGAGGTGACGGGGTCCCCTCAGGGAGCTGCAGGCTGCAGCTCGGTTTAGCTGGGTTTCAATTTGACCAATGCACCCACCCGCATACGAACTGCAGCCGATTTGGAGCACATCCCCAAATCCAGAGCCTTTCCTTCACAGGTGACGAAGGAAATGGGTTTGGCAGTCACACAGGCAATGAGTGACTCTATAAGCACTCAGTAAGAATCCCTGCCTGGAAAAGCGTAAAGGAACCTCACCCCACTGCCAGCTTTGGGCGAGGGATGGGTGAACTGAAGAACCTTCCCATAGCAAGATGGGCAGGCCCCAGGTGCTTTTAGCAGGAGCAGATATGCTTGCTCTTCAGAGTCCGTACTCTTACAACTCAATAGTTCCGCTTTTTTGCCCCCAAAGGGGGTCATGGCACTGGGCAGGAACATTTACAAAGCATCCACAGAACTTGGAAGTACAAGTTCTGCTGCCCGTCACTATGACTTCTGACGGAAAATATCTGCAACACTTCTGAAATTTTCCTTTAAAGGTTAAAAACTGAATTCTGTAAGAGATTTAGATTGATTTTTTCAATTCACTGAGACGGACACAACAGAAAATCACTTCAAGTTAGAAACAAAAGCCTTTGACCAGACAGTGATGGAGGTGTGGTTTATGGTATATATGCCACACATACAGATAAGATACCTAAACCTTACCAGGAAAACTGGGGCACAGGGCAGTGCTGGAGGAAAAATAAAAAAAAAAGGAACCATGGTGGTCACTTGAGCAAGTGACCTCAAGCCCTTTTATCACACCAGTCCCAGGGGAGCTCCCAGCCTTCTCTCAGGGCAAGGATCAGGACTGGAGTCTCTGCTGTAGCTTCTCCCCAAAGGGTTTCACATCATTTCCCTGTTTCTCCCACTCCTCTCACACAACTTACGAACCTGGAAAAGGCTCGCTGGCTGGATGGGAGCTGAGGGCTCCCCAGCAGAGATCTGAGGGAGGAAAACTCTTTTCCTGCCAGCAAGGCAAGGCATTGCCCTCTCCCCCTCCACGAGCCAGGTGAAAGCGGGGCTTGGCTCATGTAGAGTGCCTCCAGGCTCAGAGCAGAAAATGGATCTCAGTTGCAAAATTACTGTTTGCTAACACATCATCTACACAATTAAGCCCAGGGTTCTGCATGCAAATCATTCACAAAGCAATACAGGCTTCTGCAAATGACATTCATCACCAGTTTTTCCCCCATGAGAGACCACTTGCCCAGGAATGGATCGTGAACAGTTCCCTTCAGTCGGGAAGTCCGCGTGGTGACAGTGGCTGGCGCTGGATGGCCATGCCACACGCTGTCATTTCTTACCCTTTATCTGAGCAACAAGCTTTCTAGTTGGAAGACTGAAACACCAAGTGAGAGCTAACAAATAACACATCCTCCACGTCTTCTCAGAGATCTTCTAACATGTTAAAATTCAGAAATGCACAAGGGAAATAAAAGCACAGGGAAATAGTACAGTTTTCTGAAACTAACAGCCGCGATATGATTTCAGGGACTGGCTTTGGAACCGGCAAGCTGAGGGTTTTATTCAGCACTCTTCAACTCATTATTTCTTGAGCATCTTCAGCAACACACATTTTCTGCTTTATTCTCTGTGTATTTTCTGCTTTATCCATTTACGTGGGTTTTCGTTCAAAGTATTGTTAAAGATCGAGCACAAGACTACACGAGCTCCTCTCCCCCACTGGCTCAGGCCAGCATTACACATTTATGCAGCGCATTTAATTTGGTTGTCAAGCTTTCCATTTGACCTTTTAAACACTGGCAGGCAGCCTCGGTCTTTTTGCAGCCCCACATCTGTCATTAGCGACTCAGCAGCTCATTGGACACCCTGTGAAGTCTGCAGGCATGCAGGAGAGCGTGGTTTTCAGTGATGATTTTCCATCAATGCTTTTTACTTCCTTTTACACTCAAGTAAGCCTCTTATTAATGAGTAAAAGATGGAAGTCCCTGATAATTTCTTCGTCAGCAGACCAGACAAGGTATGTTAATTATATGTATGAAAATCATGCTGCTAAAATGAGGCATACCACGCCACCTTATGACTGTGTGTCTTAAAAAAAAAAAAAAAAGGGGGAGGAAAAAGTTGTTCTCAATGTTTTTTTTTAAAGACCCTTTGCTGATATTTAGTGGCTAATAAAGTAATGATTTGCAGACCTGCTCATGAATGCCTGATATACTTGTGTCATGTCACAGCACTTGTGGCCAAATGCAATTTCCATGGCATAACTGAGAACGCAATAGCACGAGGAGCAACAGGATCCTGGAGGAGCTCTGCAGTCTGCACCACTTGCATGATTCAGCCATGGGTGGCTGCTTGTTTGGCGTGGCTGTAGAAGTGCACATGAAAGGTTATTTTCGGCAAAGACTGATCTACTATAACAAAAGGATTTCAAGTGGTTAAGAAGTGTTTTTAGACAGAAGTGTAAAACCTTGGGAAATGGTTTTGAGCACCTCCTTTTCATCCCTCTCTCTTAAAACCAAGATTTGCTCAGGTACGAAGACAAGAGGAAGTGGAGGAAATCAGAGGTTAGTAGTGAGATGCTAAGGGTGAAAAATACTGGGTTTAGAGGGGACCGTGGAGGCATACACCACAATACTACTTACGGCTATGCTGCAACTGAATTTAGTCCTTCCACATCAGGCAGCTTGAAAAGGAAACTCCAGATACAGAGCAGAGCAGCTTCAACAGGACCAGAAGCTGTCTGGCTCTCTGGAAACACAGGAAATTGCCAGGAAAGAGCAGTATGTTTACAAAGCCAAGCTTTTATAGTTAAGAGCAGCAATAACTATTTTGGCTTAGTTAAGTCCCTTGTTAACTATCATTACTAGTTTTTAATTGCATGATTTAAACAGATTTTTCTATACAATTCTTGCTACTGACAGAAAAAATTACTCACTCAATTAACTTCTCATTTTTTGCATTATTTTGTGTACTATGTAAATACAGCATAAGCTTCTGTATATAAACACAATAATGTTATGAGGTGTGCTCATCCAAATCTCCTTCCTCCTTACACAAACCCACTGACTTGCGAACAGCTGCAAAACAGCATAGTATTGTTTCCATCTTTCTCTCACAACATGAAGCCCAGAGAAAAAAACAAAAGCAACACAATCAGGAAAATCAGCGAGATTCTCATGCTGAGAGCCAAATCTTTCCAGGCCTGCATGTTTTTGTGCCAATTCCTAGCACAAGGCCCCACTTTCTGACACCTGTAGCGCTCACCTCTTAATCCAAGTCCCGAGTATCCTAAGCTGGGCATCCAGGAAACGCACAATTTCTGGCTCTGCATTGCAAAATTCTTGGTCTTTGCAGCTTGCTGAGCATTGCAACCAGCCTGGGAGGGGAAGCAAAAGGGCTCCTACAAATGCCTTAACAGAGGAGGTCAGTGGAGGATAACAAAACCGGAGCAGAATTAATTGCTGGGATGAAGGGCAGGTGGGAGGGGAGTGAGAGGACACAGCCTGACTTCAGTATTCACAATCTAGGGAGCAGCTGAAAGCCCCTCACCATCACACAGATATTGTCCCCTATCCACAGGCCAAAAAGTTCTGCCTCGTGCACGTACACACACAAGAAGCGTTGGTTACATAGACCAAAAAAAATCCCCTATCCCCCCCCCTTTTGAGGGAGTCTGACTCACGATTTTCAAATTTTGGGGGACTTTTAAAGACTTTTCTCACAGTACAAGCCATAGCCACAGCCTTGAAAAAAGAAAGGTGGGTGGGAAGGGCATAAACACAGCAGCATCATGAAGAAAGGAGCTGTAATGCTGTCGGGGCATTTCTTAACGTTGCACAAAGGATCCTGAACTCTGAGCAAGGTTTTTCGGGGATTTCTGTTGAGGCAAGGTAGAATTGCTGCACTGATTAGGTTTCCAACATTTAAACAAAAGGGAAGCCTGCACCCCCTGTTCAGAAATCAGGCAGATACCTGCGCTTTGTGACCAGGGTAGCTGGGACACAGACAGCCCCAGCGCTGGCCTCTGTCCCTTGACCTTAATCTCATTCCTTGCCATGCCACTACCCCTGTAGCACAGACACCTCCTGTCCTCTTTTATTTATGTCTTTCTTCTGCCACTACCTTTTTTTTTTTTTTTGCCTTCTTTTTCCCCTCTTCTGCTCCCACCACTGTGGAGCCCTGCCAACTCCTTCTCTTGCCCAGCCCCCTCTTGCCTTACCCAAACCATCTGCCCTCCAGCCTTTTTCCCCTCTGGATCTCTCATCCTCTGACACCACTGCTTTCTCCACTAAGGAAATTACAGAACGGGTTATTAAGGAGATATTAGGAGAAACTCAGTTCTGAAGCCCCGGCCAGCTTCTCCTGATGAGGAAGATGTGGTTGGCCCTGCTACCTCCAGCCACAGCAGTGAGATATATACAGCCACAGATATAATCAACTTGGTGGAAGGTGATTCGGGCAATTTCCTTGCCAACCTCTAGAGAGACCCTAGCAGCAAGATGCTTGGGGTTTGTCACCTGGCTGTGCTTGAGGAAGGGATTTTTATGACGCTAGCAAGGATGACGCCTTCCCCCTCCCTCAGGCAAAACACGGCAGTCTTGGTCCAGAACTGTTAGAGGCTCTCCATGGAAGAGCTGTAAAGATTACATTTACACGTATGTTCTTGGACTCGGAAATGGATCAATTATTGTAAGTGAGGTTTAATAACAGCCATAATCACTAAGGAGTGATTCCTCAGTGACATGAAAACTTCTGCCTCTGTGAGCCGCAAAGAAGCAAGTGCTGAGTAGAAGTAACAGGGAACTTCAACCTGCACTGGCTGTAATCCAGACTCCAAAGCAATGCACCCAAACAAGACACTCCCTTTCTTCCCCTAAAAGCAAAATCATTACTTTTTTTTTTTTTTTCTTGTTTAGAATAAAATCGGGCTTTTAGGAAAAGCATTCCCCAAGGACAATGCCAGGTTCTCCCTGAAGATGTTTGATTACTATCTCCTCTTGAGATGCGATGAGACAAGACACATCTCTGCCACACATCTTCCCTTTCATGCAAATTTTAGGAATTTTGAAGCCCAAGTCTGCACATCTGAATTAAAAGGAATCAAGCACACTATTTAAGCAGTAAAGTATCTGGTCTGTAGCTGGAGACTTCTTCATTCAGATCTTGTTGTACCAATATTCTTTATTTCCTTTTGCTATTGTCTTCTTCACTGCCATATCATCTCAGTGTCGTACCATGTGTTCCTTTTAGCAATCTTTACCTAGAAAAAACAACCATCTTCTGGTTTCTGCCAAACTTCATTCCAGTAGCATGTGCGCTGATGACCTGTGCTCGTTTCTCAGCTTTAATAATCCCTAAAAGTTATGTTCCTGCCCTAAATAATGCATTACTCTTTTTATTACTCTTTTTTTTTTTCTTTCTTTCTAGTTTAGCTCCTTTGCCAAAGGTTATATGTGGTTGATCAGATGCTTGGTAAACAAATGTTACTGTCAGTCTCAGTTCACTTCTGAGTAAGAGAAGCCCCCACAAGCCGGCCGATGCACCAATGTACAGGCGGAACCAGCGGTTAGACTGATATTGTTTTATTTTAAGAAGCCTCTTTGCAGACCCACTTGCTTCCTACCCCAAAGAAATGCAGCACTGCAGACATGAGCTTTTTTCTTCAAACCATTGCTAAAGGCAAATGGTTTAATCATAATTTTTTTCCTTTGCACAGCTTTCATTTCAGAACTGACATTTGCATTTTATGGATGAGTAATTCGGAGGGAGAATGCACACTAAAAAGGTAAGACTACAGAACAGTGTCTGCTTGGCTTTGGGAAGACTCTAGCCCTTATTTAAGCTGCTGTTCCTGCTTTGTATTTCTATGCTGAACCTGTCGAAGTGCACATGTGCAGATCAGTGTATTCTGGATTAAGAGCGATAGGTCCCAGTACAATTTGTCCATTTTTATTTTTCCTTGGGTAGGTTGCCAAAGAGAGGAAGATGTTGTGCTGCTGATAACTTCTTCCAAATATTTAATTGTAGGATGTAGAAGCAGATTTTTCCCAGCACAGAAATTCTTCCTGCATATTTCTGATATGGAACAATAGTCCAGTGGATCCTGTAAATCTTTCTATTCCTAATGTCAGTTTGTCCAGTCTGAATATTAGACAGGGCTCTGCCTCTCGCATGCCCTTCCAGCAAAGCCTTTCCTCCTTCATTATTTAATCAGAAAAGGATTACATTTGGGAAACTGCAAGAGGACCCCTTCCTTAGGCAGCTTTGACCAACTCCTCAAGACACAAGACAGTCCTGTAACACCCCTCCACATTCAGTAATTTTAAAGATCCTCCTCCTTCTAGTTGAAGCTATACCTTCTGCTCTTTAGGCCTCGGCTTACCTCTGAAAAAAAAATAATTCTTAATGGGAGTTGGCTAACTCAAAGTGAAATCCTAGTGAAGATAAGGCAGAGGCTGGTTTTCCCCTAAGCTAGCATTAAGGTCTTTGGAGTGGCAACATGATAATATCAAATGGTTGCACAGTATTTTCATGCTTCTTGATTTTTGATGGATACAAAGATGCAGCTAGCCTCTGTGCAGCGTTAATCAGCAGAATTGCATAGCCCAGATCCATCTGACATCCTCAGCTGCCCACACAAGTCACCCTGGACTTGTATGCTGCTCCCAGGCATTAAGCAGGAGCCCAGCCTCAAGCTTCTGCTCCCTGCTGCAGCTGACATGACAAAATCTGCTTTGGCCCTGACCCTGTTTGCCCCAGGCCAGTAACACTGCGAGCAAAAACTTCCTCGGTCATCTCCAGCTGCTTTTGCATCCCGTCCGCTGGTACCGGGCAATTCCACTGCTGCTTAGAAAGAACATCTTAATCGAGGATAGCTGAAGCAAAGGCAGACGGCCACCCCGTATGTCCCCGAATATTTCTGCAGAGCACTCCCTAAAGGGCAATTTTTTCCATTTCTAAAAACAAGAATCCTGCTCTTCTTATTCTAGGTCACTCACAGAACCACACAGATAACAGATCTCAGCAAAATGTCACTGAAGATAAAGTCCGGGGTTTTCAGAGCAGCGCTTCTGAAGGTAGGCACTGTATTGAGGTGTCAACGTGCAGGGGACAATTTTTGCATGCAATTTCCAAGCCTTCCTTTTGAAAGCATTGGCCCAAGCAGCACTGTTATACTTGGATATTCGACAGGCAAGCAGTCTGAGCGCTGAGACTGGGAGAGGAAGACTGCAGTGGTCAGTTTAAAGGGTGATTTGCCAAATAGGATGGAGCAGAGGCCACACCACAACATTGCTATTTTCTGACTGCCTGTGGCCGCTCAGGACTGAGTCACCTAACCCACAGCTGCCCGTGCAAAGCAGCCAGCTTGTGGGCTGGAAAACAGCAGGTGGGCTTTTATCCCAAAACATCCATCCCTCTTTGCTCCCTGCTCCACCAGGACCGAAACCTTTGTTGCAGCTGAGCAGCTGGCCGAGAAGAGGGCCTGAACACGCACAACGTACCACATGCAAGGGAAAATTCTGCAACACGTAGGGCTGATCGTTGGCTGCATCGTAGCTTCTGTTTGGCACCTGATCGGTGCTTTCCTACCATCTCCTCCATGGTTCAAAAGCAAAGCTGGGGGAAAATTCAACACTATCTTCATCGGCCAGCCCGTAAAATAACCGCCTTTGGCTGAAAAAAATGATGATTACTGAGCCATAATCACAACACCCTTTTTTTTTTAAAGAACAGTTTAGCTTCAAGGCCCGATTCCATCTGTGACCATGGAAGCTGTTCTGTGTCCTGGCATGCAGGAGGAAAAAAACGTAGATGTGTTTCCACTTTTCTCTGTGCTCACTTGAATAACGGGACCAAGGTCAAACAACCTCAGACAGAAGGAAAAACGATCACTGAACAGAAGTGGAAATGTGAAATACGTCAGATGATATTCTTTTTTTTTTTGTCGTCAGAGGTGCTCGGGGATTGTGGCCGCCAAGAAGAGAATAGATAGGCAGTCTGCAGAACGGGAGATTTCTGACGGTGAAGTCCTATTGGGGTTTTTTGGGACAGTTACATATAAGACACCAAAGGAATGGCTCAGAACTACTATCCCCACCTACAGTGTTTCTTTTCCTCTTCATTTACGGTAACAATGTTCAGGCAACAGTTTGTTTTTTTCAGTTCCCACTTACTATTCATTGCGAAACTTGGTAAGATTGGCCATGTTTTAATGTGACTCCACAAGTATACAGATAAACACATCTTTCTTCAACAGCTTCCTTCTATTTACAAACCTATCGCATCGTTTGGGTCATTCCTTGAGGCACATAGCATGGTTGGCTTCATTCTGTCCTAAACCTTCTGCTATTCCTCTCACTTGATTACTGTGTATAGAAAACATACACAAGTGTTTTCTGATACTTTGCCGAACGGCTTAAACACTGAGTATCAAAACTGACTGCAGAAATCTTCATTCCAGGTGCTGCAGGTGACTTGGTGATAGGCATGATTTGGAGCAAAGGGCAGATTTGTAAGAACAAATACTCAAGTAAAACTCCATGGGACAAAAGCAGCAACAGCAGCATGGCAAACTACAAAATCAAGTTAAAATCTGAAGCATTGCAGAGTTTTTAATGGAAGTAATTAGCTTGAAATGAAAGCTTCTACCTTAAGCCAAATTATATGCGCACAGGAAAGGGATTCATTTGGTTATGCTGCAGAACCTTTCCAAATTGCACTGCACTGCTGCTATTCCTTTTCCTTAGTAGCCGCAAAATAATTTATTTTAGGTTATCCAGGGCTTAAGTTCACAGAAGAACGCATTTAAGTTGGCTTCACAGTCATCAAAGTTTAGCGGCTTTATTGAATTCAAGCGAGAACCGCATGGAATATCTGAGTCCGAGGCTGATAAGCGAAACTTGACCTTCTACGGTACCAGCCAAGTAAAAACCCCTCTTAATGTCACTTCCAGCTGCAGTAGATAGATATCGTTTTTAAAGCAATCTTGAACAAGAATTTGTGATGTCTGACAACTTTTTCAATATCCGGGAATTACCCGCTGCTGGAAAACTTTCTGCTGGCTGAACATTGCTTTGGTAGACAGGTTTGTCTTTGACTGCGGTTAAGGACAAATTTACAAAGTATCTCTCTATATACTGAGGAGCAGATTTTATCCTCAGAAATTCAAGTGTGTGAGCAAATCAGAGTTTGAATAACAATCTACTGTATGGGAGTGCAAATTATAAAATGGTACAAGTGAGTGAAGATCAGCCTACATTTCTATATTATAACTTCATTAAATGAAGATATTCTAAAAAGCATCCATTATGCTGTCTTGTTCTTATCTGCTCCTTTTAAAACGCTGCCTTATCACTGTTCACATGCTCGATATTCTCGGTGGTAGTTCCAGAGTCCAGGTTTAGTCATAGCTTATTCATTATTTGATGCTGAAGGGGTACATTTCTAAGCAAAAGACATCACCTGGGCACCCATGAAAACAAGGTGTGAACGTCCTCATGCTTGCTTAAGCCACAAAACAGCCCAAGTTTGCACACTGACACTTGCGTTTTGAAAACACAGGCAGTGAACAAATTGACACCAGCATGCACCCAGGAGCTAGCACTTGTGACCACAATGCCCACCGAGGTTTCTGAAGGTGCAGATTTTGACACTTGCACATGTAGAGTTGTCTACTGACAGCTTCTGGATATTCCCAGCTCTCCAGCTGCTGAGGAAAGCGGCACTGACATGCACATGAGAAACAGCAGTGCTCGTGGTACTGTAGCTGTGAAGACTTATGGATGTAAGTGAATCAAGGTTGGGGAAGGGAAGCTGTGGCTTGCCAGTCTGACTGAAGATCTCCCACTATTTCTTTTCAGGCTGAACAATTGTTTCTGCTGCTGCTGGTTTTGAATTCAGTGCAGTATATCCAACTCCAATAATGGCAGCAAATTGCCCTGAACAAAACACACCAGTTCTCTCTTCCACATGACTAATCTCACCCACCACTTCTGCTGCCTTACAGTAAACACACTACGTAAGAAAATGGCCACAGCTGGTCTAACCAAAGATCCAGTTGCCAACTTTTAATAGCAGTCAAACAGTAGAGAGGACGAAGAGGCACACTACCTGGGTGTGCTGCTGAAGCTACCCAACTCATTTAGCACTGAGATGAACCACGGGTGCTCATACCCTCAGCTATCACGGCTCAGCTACGGGCTGGGCTGTAACTGCAGACAATCATCTTGCTGTACTCTACCTTTCCATGGCAAAACTTGGACATCTAAACTGGCTGTGCTTGAAGCAATGCTCACAATTAAAATCCACTATCTTATGCATAAGCCTGGAAAAAGCAGCTGGCTGAGCATTCATCGCATTATGAAATGGGATTGAGACTGCCATTTCTGCCCCTAAGAGATGGGCATGTACTGGTGTGACATCTCACAGTCACAGAACAAACTGAAGGCATGAAAAATATCTTTTTTTCCCCTATGATACATCCAGCTGGAAGTTCAGTTATGGCTAAGGGATGTTAATTTTTTCCCATATGATTACAACTACACCAGCACACTAGGAAGAACGCCTCTGAAAAGCAATTTCCTCAGAACAAAGCACACCAGCTCTCTCTTTTGTGTTACAAATCAAGTCTGTCACTTTTGCCGTTTTATGCTAAACTTGGTTGATAGCTCCTTCAATAGTGTGTCTAACAAAGTGTGCAGACTGGTACAATTAGGTTAAGAGGCAGTTTGATTGGTTGGCAATCCTTACAAAGTCTATCTGGGGAAACTGCCAATGCGTATGCTTTGTGTGCATGCTGCAGATCAATTTCTATGTCGCTGCTGCCATTGTGCCTCTGCCAAGAGAGAAAGTTTGCCCCGTCAGCAGTGCTTCTAGCCACACTCGGTGCTGATTCCTCTTCATATTTCCACCTCCCACCAGCTTCACAAGAATTAATCAAAAGCCATTCATTGAAAGCTTTCGCCATACAGCCGTTTTTGATTTCTGCTCCACACAGCCTTGAACAAAGAGTCAAAGAGCTGGACCATTTGACCTCATGTGCCCTTTTTCTGCCATCTCCCAGAACCCACGTCAGCACTGCCAAAATTATCACACCTCGGTCATGATAGGTCTTCACGGCAGCCTTTGTTTTGCTAACTTTTGCCACCCTCTTAAACACACCTCCTCCAGAAGTCCCCCAGTGCTGCACTGACCTGCAGGGTGAGAGCACGCAGGGAACATGCCCGGGGGCTGCCAGCTGCAGCAGGGCTGGAGGAGCATGGGGCACTTCTCAGCTCCTTTGCAGCAATGCTTGGTTACTTCCAGTCTTTTTGGAATAATTTGGGAAAAACACCTGTTTGGGAAATGCAAAATAAAGAACATTTAAATACTGAATTTAAAGCTTTTGTTTAAACCCAGTGCAAGTTGTTGTGAGCTCAAGAAATTTCCCTCACCCTCCCTGACCGGTCCCCAGGACAGGTTTCTGGAGGGCTCCCACAGCTCATGCACACAGTTTGACTTCCACCACCGCAGCTTTGTGGTCCTCCTCTTGGAGGACTGAGGGAGAATATAATAAAAGTAGACTGAAAGCCCACATGAGCAACGTATGTTTTCACGTGGATCACAAAATGCTCCCCCTGCTCACTACACAGAAATGGGAACATAACCTCACACCGCAGCAGACTTTTGGTCTGATTTCACCAACACAGTCATGAATTTGGGTGAAGGCAGGGAGAGTGCTGTCCCTGAAACCCCAACATACAGCAAGTCAGCCAGCAGCCCACCAAACCCTGCACAAACCCTGCTCGCCAAGGGAGTGCCTCACAGAGGCTGCAGAAGCCTGAAAGCCAGCAGCGCCCAGCCGAGGGAGCACCAGCAGCCCGGGCTGCACTGGGCACAGCTTCTGCACCCCAGGGAATGCACTGGCTCCAATGGTTTCTTTTTACCCGTTTTAGGTAAGTTACCAGGTATAGCCTAGCTGCTTGGACTCTCACCAAGGTCTTGCCCTTGGTACTGCTAAGGCAAAACTCCTACAGTGCTAAGAAGCATCTCCTTTCACTGGTTTTAATTGTGCTGCATATTTATTGCATTACTTGTTATAATTTCTTATACATTTACTTAAATTTTCCAAAATAGTCTGTAGTCTTAAATACTATGCCATACGTTCTTGATGATATAAGCAAAAATAGTGTTTAAATTTACCAACAAAATAAAGTCATCTCCCAGAATGAATCAATCAAACCGCCAGACCATTTTCAAGTAAAGCGATACCGCATTGCCAGAATGACAGGCACAGAACTGCCTCACAGATAATAAACCAGAACTGAATTTGAGAAACCTCACACAGACTTTCTACAGTGAATCATCTTTTTTTTTTTTTTTTTTTTAGCTGGGGGTTGAAGAAAGGGTGATTCATTCTATTCTGAAGTTGTTTTCTGTTTCAATACAATACAGCTTTGTTTTCTGCAGCATCTTTTGAGCAATCTTGGAAGTGCAGAACAATAACCCAGTTATTATTAAATCAGCCCCAGCAGAGGAGAAAAACAAGTCTGGAAAGGAAGGAACACTTTCCCTCTGAGACTTAGGAATAAGTGGAGAATGGATGATGCTGCAGGAGCACTGAGCCCCGGCATGCTCACAGGGCCAGAGCGAGGGGGAGCATAAACTGCAGGATAAGGAGGAATCAGATGCTAAAATAGCAAGTAGTAAGAGAAGCCAGGTCTGGGAGAGTATCTCTTGCCCAGATGGGGAACCCTGACTTTGAGACTTGCAGCAAGGAAGCTGAAATGAAACCACAAGCCCGCCAGCATGACTGCAGGCTGGCACTTGCTGTGACTAATGCTGTAGGTAATTTTATTGATGGTAAGAACATGCAGGTTCTGGGTCTTGCAGCAGGAGGTACACACAGGGCAATGAAGGCATGTACCTATGTATCTCTCACCGATAAATTCAGGCGGAAAATATTGTCTGTACTTTTATCTTTCAGAGCTTTGACTAAACCGACTTATCTGGTGTAATTACCCTAGGAAAGCTGTTTGCCAGGAAGGATTTCATGGAGGTGGCTTGGCACCTCCACTGCAGCAGCTGTTCCCAAAGGTGCTGGAGAGAATGCCTCCTGGCAAGGGCAAGACAAACAGGCAGGGGCTGGGTAGGTGCAGGTGCCCAGCCAGGAACTGCCCCTCTGCTGCTGGGCCCTGACTGCATCCTGCGCTCTGCAACCACCCAGGACTGTCTTTACCCACTTGCCAATCTTAAGAAGAAACCCAAATTTCAAAGAACCTTTTTGGTCATCTAGCCCCGGGCTCAGCTCGCCACGGGCAGCTGTCTCCTGCAAGTGCACTGCGGAGTCACAATGCTGTTTTTCCAGACACAGAGGATGTGGGACTCTGCTTCACCTTTTTTCTCCAAGACACCCTCTATAACCTTATCTTCACCCCTACGAACTGCATGCTGACATGACCTGTGCAGTAAGTGTCCTGTACCAATCTCAGACCCTCGGGTGTTGTTCTTATCTCGGCTGGTGACATCCAGCATGGACAAGACCACATTCATGATCACGAGATACAATTTCAGCCACATGGCTCCCCAGCAAACAACTGCCACCTCACATAACCAGGAGAAGGACATTTACTGTTTGATGTGTGGGGGAGAAGATGCCAGAGGGCTCCAGTGCTGCAGTGTAATGGTAAAAGGGCAAAAAGCAAAAAGGAAAAGAGTCAAAAGAACAGAAAGAGAGGGAGGAAAACTCAGGGGAATGGGGGTGAGAAGAAAATTCCAAAAAGGGATCAAGGTATTTCTTCCTCCTATCAGAAAAGTCCCCCTAGGTCTAACCTATAGCTCCTTTCTTTCCCTTTAGACGTTTATAATGAGATCACATTCACGCCTGTGTGCCTTGCAGGCCTTGGGGAGCAGGGCTGCAGGAGAGGTGTACAGCAGCCTTCCTTTCCTCTGTTAGCACTGGCCCGTGTGTGATGTTCCTGCGTCTCCTGGAGGGCCGTGAGCCCTGGTTCTTGCTTTAGATTGCCTGTTCTCGGCACCTGTTGTGAATACACATGAGAAAGAGACACCAAGTATAGATATGGGGAAGATGAAATGACCTCTCAGGGCTCCTTCCAGTCCTCTCCTAAGACTATGTCACATCCCAAATATTTCCAATGATGAATCCTTTTTCTGAACAGGCATGGCAGCAAAAAAGTCCTCATGTGGGACCTAATATATCTCCTTTTCAACCCACATGCGAGCAACAATCTTAACAATGGGAGGAGTCTGGAGTGCAGCTACAATGCCATTCAGTTAGTTGTGCCCCTCATCAAACCTCTTAATC